TGTTTTTTATTACTGTCCTAGTTATATTTGATAAGTATATTTACTTTTTCACGAGTTTTGATGCATAATTAGTCAGTGAGAGTCAGAATAAGTATCTTAACATAAAAAAAATAGTCATTATCATAGAAAAAAACATCAATGGCAACATGTATGACTTACAAAGAAGAAATAACTTAAGACCCATGAAGAATTTAAAAGAAAATCATATTTTTGAAAATTATTTTAGGATTAAATTTTTTTTCAAATTTTTGAATTTCCCACCAGTTTAATTTGAAGGGGGAAAAACAAGATGGCTGCCATTTGATGTAAGAAATATCAGAAAAAAAGTTGCTTCACTTTTAGTTTTCACAATGAGCACAGTTTTCCGGTTTTGGTTTTTTGACTGATTCTGACTCTTCATCACCAGGGTCATGTATAGAGATTATAAAATTGAAACCGGAATGTTGTGCTCAGCATGAATTTGACTGAAATATGTGTAACTTCACCAACACAATTGAAGTCTCAAAACTGGATGCTCAGTAACTTTGAGTGACTATAATCCCTCGATTACCCAGATAAACACCAATTCACTTATCCAGAAATACCATTCAATGTCTATACAAAGAAAGTAAGCAATGTTTTGGTGGATATGTTTCAAATCTTTTGCATAAATAATTCATTTAATATTTGCCATTGATTTTTTTTCAATTCTGACAAAGTGATATGCACTGTCTTTGATGCCAATATTCTTCATTAATTGTGATAAAAATTGATATTTTTGTACTCTCAGAAGAAGGATAACATATTGAAGTTTAATAATATGTGTGATTGAGTTGGTTTTTCAGACATTACAATTTTCAATATTTTCTAAGTCGATACCCAGACTCATCCTTTCTGTAAATACTAGACATTTTGTTGAAGTAAAACTTATCAAATAACTTGTGGTAGTTGCTGTATATGCAACTCATGTTCTCTGAAGATTTCAAAGCTCTTGAAATTACACTTTTCTGTAAAATTTGACAAAAAGTAGGACTTTGTCATTTTCAGGGAACTTTCTCATGTATAAAGTCAATCATCAAACATGAGAAAGTAATACTTTTTGGGAAGAAGATCTTGAACTAAAGTTAAAACTTGTTTTCGGTTTGTCAAGAATAGCTTTAAGATACGCTATATGATCCAAGGCCAAATATTGAAAGTAAATTATATCTTATATTCTTTAAAGCCATCCCTTTACCCATTTTTAAATCAATACTTCTGATGATTTGGGAATGTGCAAGATGAGGTCAAGGGTTTATGAAACATCAAACTTGGAAGCTGATCACAGCAACTTCTCAATATTCTACAAGTCATAGTATAAAAGTTTATTCCATACTTAGTAGTGTTATAGGTAAATAACATACAAGAATATAATTGATATCTGAATGAGAAGGTGATACATATATCGCCTGCTGATATCACCAACTCATCAGATCTACAATGTCACAAATTCAGAGAGTAGATATTGAGCTAGGGGACTTGACTAGAAACCTCATAATCTACTAAGTATAGAATATATCAGTTATTAAATGCTCCATTTTTTTGATACAATCCCTTGATAAACACAATATATCAACCCTTGGTCCCTATGGTCCCTCGGGTTGATTTATTGTATTTCCCTCAGATATAACCTGTATCAAAAACCTCCCATTAAATAACCTTTATATACTATATATAGTGTGTTAAATAACAACAGAAATAACTATATGTACAACATATATTTGTTTAACTATATCAATTTATTGAACCTATTCCAACATATTAATAACAATTTCTGATTAAATCACAATGTGTGCCTCTTTATACATATATGTATATAATTAGAAAATAATTACATTTACATATAATAATGCAACAATGTACTGTAGAATAATATTTCCCCAAATTAAGACCAAAATATTTGACAATAATTGCTCTATTTTCATCTGATACAATAAATTGAATTGTATGTTATTGAGGACTAAAAATATGTTAATAAACATAACAGGTTATATGTCCTCCTGTTATGAAAAAGAAAAGTCCTTGATACGTGTGATGTAAAATAAAGTCGCAATGTAAATGTCATTTGTCATCAAATCACATAATACAGGGTGGGCCAAAAAAAACCACCCCCCTAGCCATTACTCCTGATAAATATTTATTTTTTAACATGTACACCAACAATGATATACCATTTTAAAGATAATTTAATTTGCAACAAAATGCTATATAATAGAACAATTTTCAACAACCCTGGCTCGAGATATAACCATTTATGTGACATGGGGGTCAAAAAACACCTTTTCAATTTTCATCGATTTTGCGAACAAAAGCCTATTTCTACGAAATTTTACTGTTCAATTAAAAATTGCAACATTGTCATGAGTCTTTCAAAATTGGATATTCTATATTGTTTTCATTCAGTTTTGGAACCATGCATGCTCAATAAACATGTGTATGCTTATAAAACAAATTAATTTCTTCTCCAGTCTGTCCAAATATGGCTCAATAGACCCACCCCCCGGACCCATCCTCTGATCAGATTATTCGCTTAAAACGCGGAAGCCATTGGTTGATGGCATAATTGATTGATGTATGCGGAAGTACCATTCAACTGCTAGTTATTCTTTCTTTTAGTTCCTCTACATCCCCGATAGGCTGGGTATCTTTAAATACCAACTGTTCTAGATGCCCCCAGGTATGGTAATCAACATTATTGGCATCTGGACTGTCAGTAAGCCATTTGTCCGGGCTAGAGATGGTGTCATTTCGAATCTCCAAAAACTCAAGGGTAGCATTGGACCTGTGTGATGAAGCACTTTCCTATCAGAAAATGAAATTTCTTTCACATGTTTTTATATCCTTGAGGAGTCCTTTTTAACACCTCATGTCCTTAACATTCAGAGTATATTTTTGCTCCTGGTTCAACAAAAACAGGGCCTGTACGTTCTTTCCTCTTTGGGAAAAACCGAGTGGACACCACTTCCCTTTCTCGATTTGAGTAGCCTTTTATCGCAAATGTCCCTATTCTTGCTTACTGATATACAGTCTATCCTGTTGATTACATGTATAGTACTTGGGGCATTTAGAACAGTTGGTCTATGAAGAGCACTAGCCTATCAGGGAAGTAGACAAACTGAAAGAATGAATAATTACGAGTTCGATGGTACTTCCGCAGAGATCCATCAATTATACCAATGGCTTTCGCGTCTTTAGAGAATCCGATCAGAGGATGGGTCCGGGGGATGGGTCTATTGAGCCATATTTGGACAAACTTAAGAAGAAATTAATTTGTTTTGTAAGCATACACATGTTTATTGAGCATGAATGGTTCAAAAACTGAATGAAACAATTCATATATTATGCGATTATGAAAGACCCATGACAATGTTGCAATTTTTTACTGAACAGTAAAATTTGGTAGAAACAGGCTATTGTTCGCAAAATCGATGAAAATTGAAAAGGTGTTTTTTGACCCCAATGTCACATAAATGGTTATATCTCGAGCCAGGGTTGTTGAAAATTGTTCTATTATATATCATTTTGTTGCAAATTAAATTATCTTTAAAATGATATATCATTGTTGGTGTACATGTTAAAAAATAAATATTTATCAGGAGTAATGGCTAGGGGGGTGGTTTTTTTTGGCCCACCCTGTAGTATGCAGCTTATAATTCACATATCCTTTGATGTATAACACATAATTATCTTCTACCACTGCATTCTATGATGCTTCTAACCATATATGGGCTCTTAAAGTGTGCGCCTGACCCGGCTACGTATAGCACAGAGTTTATACTGGCGGATTAGACTAGTTCATTTTTTATATGTGTGTGAAAGCTTTCTCTTATTTGCGTTTTTTCGTTTAGTACGGTTTTGTTATAATTGCCGAGGTCATATAACCGGGATAAAACAATGATTATCATTGACTGCCCACACTCAAAACATACGTTGAGTAAACAGTGTTATTACAAACAACAGGCTTTAGAATACAAAGCGTAGTGTGATAATAAGCTGCACACTACCACTGCTGCATGTACATATTACTAATTTACTAGGGCTCCCAAAGAGTGGATAGGGAGGTTGTGTTTGTCACTTTTAAATTTTACCTTTCAAAATTGTCATTTTACATGTCATAATTTGTTGGTTTCATTCGTTTAGCCAATCAAAACATTGTAAAACAATAAATTGTCTGTTACGTACAATCAATTTTGTTCAGTTTTGATTAGTTGTCAGAATAAAGTTACGTTCATCTGAATCCATGTTTGAAAACAAAAATCCTATTTTCACTTCAAAATACTTCAGTGAGATGAAGGCTCGGAATTGTCACATGCAATAACTTATTGTCGTATTCGTTATTTTATCTTCTCGATAGTAGCATTTAGTTGCACATTTGATGCCAGGTCACCTTGTCGCGTACCTCTTGGGGAACCCCACATTTATGTGTGTACTCATGGAAGTAAATTCCCCGGTGTAGCCGAGAGCCACAAACTTTTCAACAGGTTCGAAATGACCAATTTCTCTCATATATACTCTAAATATTTTATTATTTAGCACCTACAAAGTATTGCTAATAACCATATGTAATTTCAATAAGGAAACTTATCTGGCTACATATAAATTCAATATCAACACTAGCTGTTCTCTCAACACGTCCTGGCTTACCTTGTGGTGACAAACCCTGGGTTTTCGCTATTTATAGTTTATCAACACCTGGACGCATGCGCATTTTATACTTTATCGGGCACTTTAACAAAACAGTCATTTGGTACTTTTAAATCATAATGGGACGCATCTATCCATATATGGGCCCAGTCATTTGGTATTATTAAATTTCATAATGGGAAGCATCTATCAATCTATGATAACATGTGAATCGACTGCTTATTTTATATTGCATTATGTGATACATCTAACCATATATGGGCTGGTAATGTAAATGAGCTTCCTGTATTTCACGCACAAGTTTTACACGGTTGATCATTTTCACCATTGGTTCTGCAACTAGTGGTATGGTGGAGTACCATACGGGACTGTCTGGAACACAGGACCTTTCTGGGGTCAGGTAAAATACATCGTTGCGATTCTTGATGCTCTCGGGACTGGAAAAATAGAAAAAAATCGTTAAATATTATATGCTTAATCTGTATACTGTAATAATAACAAGGCATTAACATGCAAAATGTCATCACCTCGCATTTGATATAGCTGACAAACACCAAATGCCGAACATTGTTCACAAAAAAGTTGGAGACTATAACAATATGGCACCACTTGTGGTGGTGACATAAAAAATCCAACATTAAAGCAAATGCAAAGAACAAGGAATCAGTAAATCAGTACTTAGAACAATAAAGGTAAGAAAAATCTCATGTAATAAATCAGTTTATTTCATTCACTCCTGGCATTTTAATAACTTAACATATCACTCATCTACTCCAGTTACAGCTCAAGATTAAAAGATCACAACTCAAATGTAAAAACGTTTTAATAATTTGAGATGAATAACGAGAAAAAAACAGTGAATTGCAATTCAAAATATAAAACCCAAAAATTAGACAAACTTTTCAAGATTTAGAAAGACGTTGTCTATGAAATAAAATTACTTTGATGATTAATTAATTTCCAGGAAAACACTTGAAGGAGTTGTTACTCTCTGACACAAGACACGCAGAACAAATACGTCCAGGTACAAAGTAGTTTAAAATCAATTTCCAAGACAGAAATAGGACCTTAGTGATCTGAGATGGACATTTTAATGACAAAATATACAACTTAACGGACTACTTAACAAGGAAATGTAGATTTTTTGTGGCAATAAAAATATGTTAACTCCACTTTGTCAATGGACGAGAGCTATTAACACGATTCCATGACGTAAAGTAATCAGAAATAATTGGATAAAAATGGATTGTGCACTTGACGCGCCATGTTGAGACGTAGAGGATGATAAAGCAAGTTTAGTTGCTTGGCATCTAAAAAATTTATTTTAACAAATCAAACACTTTTTCATTTTTCATTTTTGCACAAATCATTAATACCAGAAACAAATCAAACAGGTCGAAATATAAACATAATTTAAGATTGTAAAGTAAACATTTCATAATTCATGAGAACTGGAGTGTTAAATGAAAGATAACAAAATCCATTTGTTACTGTCAAACAAGACAAATTAGATGAGAAATAACACACAGTTTATCAAAGAATTCTAAAATGAAACAGGCTACATCGTGTAAATGACAGATATCAGTGTGGAAATCTAACCAAGAAAAAGTAATAAATCATTTGGACAAATCAGATGAAAGACAACTCACAGTGATCATTGTATCAAAGAATTCTGGGAATAAACAGCCTACATCATTTCAATGACAAATATCCGAGTGGATAAATTGTACCAGAAAATCCAATGAATCAAGAAGCAGAATTATAGATTACTCCGTTTGTTCAAAAGTGATTTCAATTTCATTCACATCCAGACTTGATGAACCTGGAGGAGGAGATGCAACAACGAAACATCCTGTCGATGAGGAAACCTCCGCAATTTCTTCAGAAAACACTGTCGCTGAAGAACAAACTGAGCCTCAAAGAGACAAATTATATACAAGAGAGCAGAAAAATTGAGCCTCAAAGACACAAATTATATACAAGAGAGCAAACTCTACAAACAAAGAGATCATTGAAGAACTGGTCAACGACAAAACACAAACACTAATACTTTGACACTGTGGACAAGCGTAAAGAATCTAAAACATTGAAACTCTTGAGTAGAACTTTGTCAACATGTGTCACAAATATCTATTCAGAAATGTAACACCTCCAAGCCCAGAGGACTGTCTTCACAACCATAATAACTCAGATGAAGTGGATAGATTATTGTTTCAACTTGATGCTATGAAGACGGTCGAATTCAGCCTTCTGGGAATCGGAGCAATTATTATTTGCGTTTTTGGATTTGTGACGAATATAATGAGCTTGATTGTGCTATCAAGGAAGGAGCTAAAATCGACATCTTTCACTTATCTGACTGCGATATGTAGCATTGATCTTGGAGTGCTTCTTGTCACGACATTTATGATTGGACTGAGTACTGTGTTTGCACCACCCACAAAATATGGACTACTTCTTGATGGAACTATTTTGCCATATTTGTATCCATACATTCGGCCTCTTTACTTGATGTTCACAACAGCAAGTATCTGGCTCGTGACGGCTTTAACGATTGACAGGTACATCACAATATGTTATGCCTTGAAGAGTTCTTATATCTGTACCACTGTGAAGGCACGCATTATCATCATATTTGTCTGCGTGTTTGCCCTTCTCTACAACATCCCCACTTTCTTTGAATACCAGGCCAGGACTGTCCAAGTTGCATACGTCGAGAAGGGTTTCATAATCTACAAGCTGACTTGGTTCGGTCTCCAGAAAGCCTTCAGATTGTGTTACCATTCCTGGGTTTATATCATTGCGATTTGGGCTCTACCCTTCGTAATCATGATCATCATGAATGGCTTATTGGCTCGTACTGTCCACAAAGCACGCAAAAAGAGCAAGGAAATGGGGTGTATCCAGCCACGAGGACAGGATGTCACCATTATGATGGTTGTCATGGTAACTGTGTTTTTCATCTGTCAGTGTCCGAACATGGTGTGCCATCTATTGTATGTCCTAGATGTGGAGGTTTTCCACTCCAGTGAATTTCAAAAGTTTGCAGCAATTTCCTCTTTACTTGTGCTGTTTAACTCTGCCATCAATATCTTTATATACGCTGGTTTTGGGAGAAAATTCAGGACTGAATTCATGGAAATATTCTGTAAATGTCGCAGAGAGATGGAGGATACCGCTAACATGGCAACAACCAGTGAAAATAAGATGCTTTCGTCTGGAAAATTCCCATGGCAGAAGAAGGCAAGCGACAGAAGTACAGACTCCACCTCTGACCTAATCACAACAAAGTTCTAATATGGCCCATAATGCAACAGTAAATTAGCAAACATTTCTAAATGGGTAAGAAAATGTTATCAATCAGGAGGCAAGAGATTGGCCAGCAAATGACTATTGGATAAAAAGCTTAAATGTGACTCCAAATGCAATAATTGAACAGACAAAAGCTGAACCTGACATAGCATATAATAACATAAGGTGACCAACCCTGAGTTAAATGCCAATCGTCAGCCCAGGAATCTATTCTATAAACTTCATAAAAACAGAGTTTCCTAAATTCATAATTGTAACCAGGATATTACACACTGTCTCGTGAAATAAACTCAATTTCGATCATGATAGTTAGTGGTTCACCTTTTAACACTGAAACAGAAGAAATTCACTTTTTGAAGTGATTACTTTGATCGCCTTCTTGTACCATTTGTGATCTATGGAGTGTATATGAACGTGTCAACTCACCACTTTGATAGATAGAATTCATATAGCTTCACAGGACACCTTAGTGGGTTATCAGCATTTTCACATTGTTCAAAGACTGGCTGGTCTTCCTTCACCATTCTCTTCTTGTCAGCACCTGGAGAGGAAATATGAGAAATGTCATGTTTTACCATGAAATACAGTGGAAAAGAGAGGAATTAGAGACAAGGTCAATATATTGTATTGTATTGTATATATTGTATTATACTTTTATTTCAAAGGAACAATTTTATTGAATGAAAATGTTCATATTCTATTTGTGATTTAAATGGTTGTTATTTGTTTGTTCAAAAACATTCAATAATTCTTAGTATAGCTTAGGGAGCATCTCAAAAGTTCAATGAAGGATTATTAACTGTATTTGCACAGGTAATCTGTGGCCCCCTCCCTCCCCCCTCATAACTGTGTTTGAGAAATGTAGATAATGCGTTGTTTTGAAAGTCACACTATATGTAACATAACATGTTATATAGTCATTTCAATAACTATTCAAATCTGTATTTCTGTACATTATCAGAGTGGGTTTAATACTAGACAAGTTTATCGTGACTTGTGAATTCAGTATCACTGTTGCTGCATGATTGTGTATTATGCCATGAAAAATGTATCAATGAAATAAACCTATTGTTTAAAAAAAAGTATCACTGTTGATCACTGTTGAAAACAAATGAATAGCCGCTCATTTTTTGTATAATTTTTTTACTTTTATTGTGGACATTTCCAGAAGTGACAAAAAGAGCATGCACAATGAAAATTCCCAGGAACGATGTCAGAACGCTAACTTTTAAGACCAATGAAACCCTCCCTCCCTAACTGTGAAATACAGATAATTTTCCGACATCTTTTGAAATGCTCCCTTAAAGTAATAAATATATATGTGAGTGTAGTTAATACATCTAATTGAATTCAAATACAATGCTTATCAAATACTAGAGAGAAAAATTGTTAAAACAGTAGACATTATGTTTATTCTATAAATATATTTTATGTTATGAAGTCCCTAATTAAAATATGTATAACGATAGAATGACACATGAGCAGATGGACAAACAGACATGTAGTTACTACACATTAAGTTACATATTATGAACACTGTATATAGAAATTTGAGGAAATCAGTAGTTCATTCAATGGTAGTTAAAACAAATATATTATATATGTACAACTGTATCAATTCATTATTTTGCATAATTCATTATTTTGCATAAGCCCTGTATGCATAATGATCAGATAAGTTAGTACGCTTTATATTTAGTTGAACTTGTAAAAACTTATATACAACTTATATCTATAGAATCTATATCAATAGAATCTGTAATGTGATATCATGTACAATATGTAATGGATTATCAGTTTAATCTAAAAAAATGCTAAGATGGACAAGTCTGGATAGCAAATAACTTTTTTCTGTGATAGTTTCTAAGATGAAAATAAGTTGATTTGTTTACTTCATTCAATCTGAATAACTCAGTAGAAATTCTTCTTGCTACCCTGTGGTATGGGAAAATACCAAATTTCAATTCGTAATGATCAATAGATGTTTGTCTAAAAATCTTTCTTCTCTTAAAATATCAAAGCTTTAAACATTGCTCATTGGGTTTTTTCAATCTTTGCCAATCAGAGGAAAGAAAGTTTATATCAAAGGCTATTGATTGTACTCAAGTTGAAAAATCTAATTTAAGATCAGAATTTATATATTGGCCCTTAAGAGACTAGAACATCCATTAAATATAGAAAAGTCAACCATCTAAGCATACACTGAATGTACTCTTAACATCAAACATGTAACATTGCATTAATCAGACTTTGAACATACACTCTATTGGGGGTTCTTCAAAGAAATCATCTTCATAATAAAGATAATCTGCACTTTTTCTCTTAGCGGGTTTTCTTTTCTTTGGTAGTTGTTGTACATCTAAAATGTTTATGTATCACTCATAAGCGATTAATCATAGCTCAACAATAAAGTCAGAATGCAGATATAGCAGAGCATGATTGTATAGTGGGTCAGAAGTTGATAGAGGCATGGAAACTTACGGTACACTGAAATTTGATGTACTGTAGTTGTACATGTCCATGTATAAGAGCTCTAAATATGTAAAAATGCTAGGACATCTGATTGAGCCTTCAATTATCACTTTCCACCAAAGCAGATGATTCATTCACATTTTTGAGAAATGAGTGATACTTTGAGCATCAAAAAGCAAAACTCCTTTTCAATGCCTTTGATTCCCTTAAGTGCATTGATTTATTTTATATTTGTTACATGTGAGAGATTCAAGTATTCTACAAGCCAAGGAAGCAAAGGATGAAAAACTAGATTTAGTTTAGTAAAACCAAGCAACATTTCAAACTACATGGCTAATAACTACAATTTTATATAACAACCAAATCCAAGCAGAAAATCTGTTTACACAAGTTGTATTTGTACTGTAATATTACCTGGGTTTGTGGGACGTCCATTGGCCAAAGGAGCATAGTAGCGTAGATATACCATACGTCCTGGTGTCTTTCCTCCAGGCATATTCGTCTTTTTCATATGTTTCATTATGTGGGAGAAAGAGAGCCTGCAAATGCAAGAAACAAATACTGACATATACAGGTCGTCTAATTAAAAGCAGATTTTGTTATTTTATTTGCCATTTTGATGATGAGCACAGCACATCTGCATGAATAAATGGCCTTCTTTGCTGTAGGTATTCCTCAGGGGTCAAAAAGGCGTGATCATTTTGAGGGTCTCTCTTGAATCTTCTAAATTTACATACATTCTTTACATAATCCACCCATAATCCCTGGTTTAATTGCTTTATGTGTTCTTCGGGGGTCTTTCTTTGATAAGCTTACTTACTTAAGGTGTTCCTCAGGGGTCTTTAGTAAGAAAGACTTTGTATTGAAGTAGACCAATGTGTTGAGAAGGACATGAGGGGAGTGTGCTCCTAGCTGTTTACATTCCCAGAGATGGTCCTCCTCTATACGACAAACTATCAGACCTGAAATATACAGAAATATTTCAAAATATGAATATTATACAACGTTTAATGCACAAAAGAGTACAATTTAAACAGGAATGTTAGAGTATTTAATCATTTTTATGAGACTATTAATTGAAATATTTTATTTAAATATCAATATCTTTGCTGATGGAGGAAACATGGTGATCTGGGTGTTCAATTGTGATACTCCCATTCTCAAGTTGGACTTTACTCCCTTCCACCAATTTTTGACTTGCCCTTGTCATAAACTTTTTTTTTTTTTTAAATCATTTTATTTAGCCTAGGGTTTACAGTTTGCACTATTACATTCCCTAGGGGTCTACATATAAAATTTTGAGATGTCATGCAATAGGTTAGACAGTTTTATATGGTCATAAACTTTCAAATATTCAGAACTACCCCTCTTCCACATTTTAAAATGGAATTCCCCTAGAGCACAGAGAACAATGACATGTGTAACCGAGTTACATTCAGAGGATGTCATTAAAGGAAAACACCCCATTTTATACATTTTTAAGTGTTTACCTTGGTGATTCAATTTGACCTCATATCTTGAGACGATTTCATTCAGAGATTCTGCGAATTTCTCGTAGTAGAAATCGGCAAAGAGGTTGTCTATACGCCCACTCTCATATAAATATTGCTGGATACCTAAATAAAGTAACAGTATAAAACATGAGCTTAGATAGAAACTGGCTCTATGGATAGCTGCACATTCTTGAAGTTGGCTTTCTTTTACTGAATCAACTCGTTCTGATACTCAACCCACATCTCTGCTTCATAAAGTTATACAACAGGCATTAACATGCAAAATGTCATCACCTGCCATTTGTTATGGGCACCGGATGCCAAACACCAGCCACAAAAAGGTTGGAGACTATTAGCAACAAATCACCACTTCTGGTGATGACATAAACATATTATCTGGGGCTGACAGAAAACTGGACAATATCTCATAATTTCAGCTATTCAATTCCCAATGAATTTTCTGTGTAATCCATCTCTTTTACAAAACAATAATCATTTTATCATTATCAAAACATCAAATAGGCTTTCCATTATGAAATATTGAACTTACATAAGGGATGAAAGGCATATTTCAATACAATATATTATCACGATTGATGTAGTATGTCCATATCATAATTCCCACATAGTTTTTTATGATTAGTATACATACCTAGGCATAGATAATATATACTATCTGGTGCATATTCTTCTCCATTTGGTTTCCGAACCTCCTTGACAAAGAGACAGAGGGAGTAATTCAATTCATCTGCTGTACAACCCAAGATGTCGGTCTTAAACATTTTTACACGGCTACTTTTCGAAGCCCGTTCGAGCTGTGCATTTTTCTGTAGCACCCAATGTTTCCATGCATTAACGCCATATGTGTATTTTAATCTCATGTCAGCATCCGGGGGAGGTGGAGGCGGTTCCTGTGGTTGGACTACTTCCTGTTGCTGTGGAATCATTTCCTGTCGGTCTTCAATGGGTGCTGAGACTCGTTGGCGTTTTCCTCGTCCGCGACCACGTCCAGGGCCACCACGTTTTCTAGTTGGTTTCTTGGGGGGAGATGGGGGAGCTATGATTTCTGGTTGCTGGACAGGTGCAGGGATATTTGTATAAGCTGGTTGCTCAGCTTCTAAAAACAATGCTTTGTCATTAATATGAGTTCAAAGTTAGTCATATTTTTAAGTATTTTGATAAGTGAAAATTTTACTCCTCATTTATCTTTAAATAACAGATGATGAGAGATTTAAAGATATTTTCCTACTATAACGTACCATAATGAGGTGTCTACAAGATGCAAGTCGACAAAAATCATAATTTGATTGGAAGAAATAAACTGTTTCCCCTTAAAATATTTCATATATTTGGCCAAAGCTAAAATGCTTTAATCCCCCAATATCTAATGATCTACCACTATAAAATATGCAATGGAATGATATCTGAATATGATGGATAAGTACCTGGATTGATGGAAGCTGGTTCTAAAGTTGTCTCTAAGTCCATCATTGGTTCAGTCATTTCTGTCATTCGCAGGGCCATCTGAAGCATGTCTTCGCTTAATAGGGCAGTATTGCTTGTTTGTTCATTTGTGTTGACTGCTGCTGCAACCGTTGGAGAGTTTGTGTCTTGGAACGTACTTGCTTCTTCTACAATATGAAATGATTTTCTTGACATAGGCATGGCAAATTATGTCCATCGTACTGTAAAACTCAAATGAAGTGCTCTTCATTGGCCTTTGATAGCATTTTCACAACCAACATGGGGACCAGTGAGGCATAAAAGTAGTATACAGTGAACCTAAGTGAGCTTTGTATGTCTTTATTTAAAGCTCAGCATAGTAGACCAGGGTTATCTTATTCTCTATCTTACATTGGAAAATCATGTGATGGGTTGAAACTAAGAGTAACCTGCTCTCTTCCCAGTTCAGGGATTTTCTATATCATCTTTTAGCCAAGGTACTAACACTAAATGTACGATACTTACTTATAGGTGGAGCTGGAGTAGGTTCATCTACCTCAGTGTCGCTATCAGAGTCTGCCTTTCCTTCAGTCGCCACAGCCTCTGCCATCATGAGAATTTCAGCCTCAAATGGATCTGCAGGCATCCTCTCTTGAATCTCCTAAAAAATATTAATTCGCACATCCTTAAAGTTCTTGGATTTTTAAAGTTACTGTATTTTATTTAGAGGGAAATTGAGTGTACTTTTCCTCTATGAATTACACCAAACATGCCGTGTAATGTGCAACGTATTACAGGGTGCTATTTTATCATCTCATCAATAAAGTACATTGTGGGCCAACATTGCCATGTAACATTTTTGGTATATTTTTAAGTATAAAGCATGTTTAAATAAAACAATTGCCAAAGACAAACATAGGCGTAGCCAGGAGGGGGTGCGATGGTGTGATCACACCGCCCCCCCCCCAAACCAAATATGCCCAGTCGATAGAAGAAAAGAACTTTAAAATGCTTTTTATTTGAAGCTTCTAGCTCAATTTTGAAGGAAATTACATCAATTTTTGTAAAATTACTGAAAGCTGGCTACACCCCTGACAAATATCATCATATTCTTAATCAACAGCAACAGACATTACATACCTTTACATGCTTTAGAATGCTGTCAGCATTTTTCTTGGATGTAGGTATAAACTGTGGCACTGGCACTGGGATTGGTATGGGTAAAGGAAACGGCACTGGGTGGTTGTACATGGCCATAGGCACTGGGACATATATTGGTACCGGCACTGGGATGACCAACAACTTTGGGTTAATATCTTCAACTGTAATGAAACATACAGGTACATACTCAAATTAGTTTATCAACATTTAAATATTTGAAAAATACGACGTTGTTGAGTTGACCATGCAGTCTAGAGCACTGAACGTGATAAAGTAGGCGCTGCTGCCTAACCGTTTGCACAACTAAAATGATGCATTAACATGCAAATGTCACCACCTGCCATTTGTTACAGTAGCCAAATGCTGTTACAGAAGCCAAACACCGACCACTGTAAAGTTGGAGACTATAACAATATGTCAAAACTTCTGGTGTTGACAATTATTATGCTGACAATAAAATTATATTCAAATTATTGACAATAATTTCATTTATGGCAATGTGAGAGTCGGTTAAGGTTTAGGTATGAACAAGCCCTAAGAAGACCATTCCCCGGTTATCCCAGGTAAATGTTTCTGGTAAGTTACACTGAACGAAACATCAAGCTTCAGATCTCGAGAGTACGAGATGAGACTTAGACGAGATATCGATAGGATTGTAGTTGGAGGGTTTTCTCCCTAGGTGCGTACAAAATCCATTAACATCAATGTAAGTTATACATTTTGATTCTTTTCCCTCACCTCCTTCCCCAGCTTACACCACCAGTTGGAGATTTATTTTCGCCCAAGAAGATGAGTTGGAGATGGTATTATAATATATCCAATTGAGCTAATTAACAGTTATGTCAAATTTTAAACTCTTGTAGCTAATTAACTTAAATTAGCCATTATTTTCCAAGGTATTGTGTTTTGTGTTAATTGGCTCAATATTTATTATATTAATTTTATATTAATAATTTTACATGTACGACTCTCACGGCCATATCTATACTCTACATGAACATAAAAGAGACTTATGGGAGATTTTAAACTTCAAGGAGACTTACCGGTTTGAGCTTCTTTAGTTTGTGTATGTGGTCTACAAGAAGTGGCTTTAGTCATGGTGAATGGTTTACACAGTAGAGATTTGTTCTTCACTTGTTTAGGGGGAGGGGGTTGCACAACAACTGTCTGTTGTATCTGTGGCACAGTGATAGGCTGAAATGAAGACCCATAATTTAAACTTGAAAATAAGAAAATAATGTGCATCTCAAAGGTCTTCAATGAAGCAGTGTGACTTTTCCCTTGTATCTATCACACTTAGATTTACATTCTGAGAACCTCATATCTAATGTATTTATCTAATCTCCCTGATGATACTCTTTAAAAATTAACACAATTGAATACAATAACAATACCATTCAATACAATAACAATACACTTCAATACAATACAATAAAATTACAGCATTTCTGAAGCAAAATGGCACAGAAATGATAACATGTTACAAGAATATTGTATTATCTTTTTATTAGATTTGGAGGTGGGGGGGGTTCAGCACATTACCTTTTTAATTATAATTTTGGAGGCAGGAGCCTTAGTGGGAGCATCTTCAGCAGCCAGCGACACAACGTTGGAGATGAGAGGCATGCTATTCTGCTGGGTAGAGGCAATAGCTAGAAAATGAAACAATTTAATACATCTTCACATGTGTTTTCTAGTTTAGTTAGTCAGTGTAGTCTTATTCAACAAGTTCACAAGCAGATCAGGATGCATTTTTGTGAAAAAGATTTAATTCTGTTAATTGGAATACTGAAAATTAAATTTCAAGGCCAGTACCTTAATGAAAATATAAAACAAAAAAATTCTGACAATAAATCAAAACTTTCCACTGGCTGGGGATGATTCTGAGAAAATCTATTCATGTTATAAAATGATATTCACAATAACAAAAACCAACAACTTCAGTAACAAAATGTAACACTTACAGAAGACTTAATGGAGAATGCAAAAGAAATTCAACTCAAAGAACGAAAAACCAATTATTTCATCTGAACCCTGATCAAACCTTTAGCACTGAGCTTCCTGTGTCGAAATGACTTCCTCTGTCGCCCCCTATGTTCAGCTAACTGTGCTGCCACTGTATTAGAGAGAGGAGGGCGCCCTCTTTTCCTCTTTCCAGTACTTAACATCTTCTCTGGTTTATACACATCCCCTGGGGAATAATCCTCATCATCTAAGTCTTCATTTGAGTCAACAAATTCATCAGGATCATCTAAGTAATTTAACATATTTTTGTGACCTCGTTGCGATTTTCTCCGAGGCTCTAGAGCTAGGGACATTAGCAGTTGAGGGGAAGGAGGCCTAGCTGGGCTTGTCTCTCCCTGGAGTTGATTAGATGAAGGGGGGCATTCACAAGGCGCCTGAAATAAAATCATAATTGTAAGTTTACTTTACCTGGTTGCTTCTGTAATCGTTTCGATGTCCTTGTCCCGGGGGTGGTATTGGTTGCTATGGTCGATGTGGTCTGGGTCACCATTGGGGTAGTGGTAGGAGGGATTATGGAAACGACAGCTTTAGTGGTGGCGGGAGGTTGAGGCTGCGAGAATGTCTTCTGGAACTGCATCACACAGTTGTAGGAGCAGAAATTACGAACAGATGCGTCACTCATCGTCAGATGGTACTGAGCTGGGGCAACAGCGGAGCATTTGTCACAACTGATGTGTTTATTGGAGGCTGCATTCTGGTTCACACGGAAAAGTGACAAACAATTCAGGGTGCAAAACATCGTGACTTTCTGATTCTCATCGATTTTCTCGATCATATCTGTGTTGATTTTGATGTTGTTACACCAAGCACAATGGCACGGTTTGGCATTAACATTCTTGAACTGCTTTGAACATCTAAAGCTGCATAGACGTTTCTCTTCACCCTCGAGGCGAATTAATTGTGGTAGCATCCCTTCGTTGAAACAGTAAGCCCCACACATTGCACAAAGATGATTTCCTAGTTTGTTGGCGTAGCGGAACGCAGCGAGACATGGATCACTACACAAACTACTGCATTTACCGTTGATTTTTATCTCCCGGCTTGCAATGCAGTCTTTTCCACAGACAGCACAATTCACTTGACGTTTTAAATCTGTTCCAAGATTCGGCCATGACGTATCATCAAGCTTCCACCAACATTGCTGGTTACAGAAAAATCCGTAGATTAGTTTCCCCTGGCCAGTGACAACTTGTTTCTTCAATCCAGATCCGCTGACGATTTTGTTACAGAAGGTGCAGATTCTTGTGCGGGACTGATAATCTGAATGGCACTTGACACTACAGCATTGCTTGATGGTGTCCGCAACCCAAATACAGAACTTAGCACGAACATTTAATTGGAGAGTCACACCGCAAAATGCACACATGTCTCCAATGGTCATCTGACATGAACTGAGGCATTTCTCTTGGCAGAAATCCAAATCCAGCCAGCGTATATAGCTTGTCATTTTCTTGTTAGTACAAAAAAAACACTGAGTGACTCGTGCAGAGATTTGCGGTACAACGGGGTTGGTGGCCGACGAGAGTGATGTTGCTTCCTTTGGCACACTGGCAGGTGGCGCTTCTGTAGTTCCTTGGAGATAATTAGCGGGGTTGGCCCGGAAGACTTTGAAGCATTTATCATCACATAAATGTTTGATGTCACCATTGCGCACAATGTTATACTTGCATTTCCCGACCTGTTCTCAGCAAAAGAAGAAAGGGAAAGACATTAGCTAAAGTTCTATATCTAGATGAGTACAAAGTGTGTACCTTATGAAGCAGCTGCAAAAGTTGTAAGCAAAGATGATATCTCAGGCTAATCTTCACCTCTAGTAATTTACCATCCAGTTTCCAAGCTTCCTCATTTTCATAGAATCTTTTTTATTTAGTAGTTGAAAGCTTATCTTAATTTTGGTTTCTAAGTAGGGAAATGCTTGACAGTTTGAATGGTGACACCAAACATATCTGAATCTTAATTAATTTTGGACACCTGAAAACTGGAGTGCCTAAAACTAGTGGTGCATGTATCCCACAGTGCTTCAAATCAATCCTATAAGTTATCAGAATTTGTAGAATCATCAACAAGGAAAATGGAGACTACTTTTCTGATATCTTATATAGTACAAAATATCTACTTTAAACTTTGCGTGCGAAAGAAAATAGTTTTGACACAATTATTGCATTTTCAAATTCAAACAAAATCTTACTGAGCTGCGTAAAAATGAAAATTTAAAATGACTGTTTATTGACCAATACTTTGGAATATCTAATATTGTCTTTAATCTACATCTGTATATCCACATAAATTAAAATTAGATTACATAATTAATAGTTTTTTGAACCAAATCTTACCTTGCTACACACAATACATTTGTGGAATTTTGATGCCTTCTTTTGTGATTCAGTTTGAGCAGGTGGTGTTGTATCAATTGTAGGTTTGATGTCCGGTTTCTCTGGAAGTTTTTCTACAAAATATCAGATTTTCAAATCCATAAAACCATATAAAGATATGTCCCATAATGCATTGCAATATTGCAGATGTAAATCTTATATACAAGTGTAACAGTAAAAGTCACTATACAAGTAAAAATGCTGAATTTTGCAAATGAAATTAGCGATTTCTGAAGGGAAAGGTGCTAATTCTGCAGCTATTTAGCTATTTGAGGGTGATTTCTTCCGGAAACTTGACTGCAGAAACTATGAAATAACAGAAGGTTAATGTTTGTACTTTCAGAAAACATGTCAATTCCACACGAACTTTCGTGAAAATTGATTGAAATTCAAAATTCTACAATTCTGGGCCAGAAAGGTCAATTCTGTTCCTCGCTCCATACAGGTCCCAGGAATATTGAAGTAAAAGCAGGTATGAAGAGATGACTGAACAATGGCACAGAAGGCCTAGGGGCAGAGAATGATTCTCATTTGAGAGTTAAACTAACAGTCACTTAAAATGAAAAAAAATAAAAACATGAACACCAAATCGAGTCACTACATCTGATTTAATTTACTAGAATCACAGTCTCACCTTGTTTAATATTACTAGCAACAGTTTCAGTAAGTAATGTTTTCTCCTCTTTTTCTGGTTCTTTGGGCTCAAGTTTGATGCTGCTGGTGGGGGTAATGGATGGGGTAGAAGTCTCAACAGGGATAGGGTAAGGAGTGTCAGCTGGCCTTGGGGGGTCACTTCTTGGAACGGGGATGTTTGCATCCTGAAATAATTGTATATACCAGTAATAGTATAGTAGGAACAAGGGGTTCCCATGCACCCATAAGGTGTGAATAAGTTACATACATTTTTGTAATCCATAGGGTGTCTATTTAATGAATTCATTTGTTAACATTGCCAACTAATGTCCCATAGTACTTTTATGGCGGCATTCAGTTACCATGGTTACGCATCTTTAGACATCTTACCTTGGTATCTTAAATCATTTGTAGCTCTGTCATTATTTGGTCTATAGAAATGATATTGGTACCAAATTAAACCTCGTTGAATTTCCAATAAATTTCTGATATTCAATTATGCAAATTATCTAATTTGCATAAATTATGACGTCATCAATCTATTTTTGGTTCAGAATTTCCAACTATAGCAACGTATCTATTAGAACTGAGGCCGTATGGCAAAATTTCTGAACGGTTTTGTCCTTTATTCTATTAGAAGAAGGTATAAGAAACATAAAAGTGAAAACAGATTCAAAATTGAATCAGTATTACGAAAGTTATGTAACTTTCGAGGCAGCTATCGTGAATGTCATTATTTGACAATAATATACATACATCTTACCTTGGAGTCTTGAATCAATGTAGCTTCGCCATTATTTGGTCTATAGAGATGATATTGGTATCTGATTAAACCTTATTAAACTTACTATATGGTTACAATATTAAGTTATGCAAATTAGCTAATTTGCATTAATTGTGACGTCATCAATCCATTTTTTGTTCAGAATATCGTAGTATAGCAACATATCTATTAGAACTGAGGCCGTATGACAGAATGTGTGCATAGTTTTGTCCCTTACTTGATGAGTGGAAGATATAAGCAACATTAAAGAGACAACAAATCTTCAAAATTGGATCAGAATTAACAAAATTATCCAGCTTTGGAGGCAGCTACTGTGAACGTCATTGTTTGACAATTATAAAAAGAACATTAAATTAACAAAAAAAGTAACAACCATCGTTGTTTCAATCTTATTGAGTAAAAATGTACATGTATTGAACTGAACTAATAAGTATGTGGAAAGGTTACATGCATTTTGACTATCATTCACAGGGGTCAAAACGGTTATCTCGACCCTGTATATTAAAGATCCAATCTTATAATTTACCATGCACTTTCAATGATTCATATAAATAGTATACATATAGTCTGATTTTCATCATATTCTTCATATTCTTGATTCTTAAAGCATCTGAAGTATATAGCATGATTAGAAGTGAAGATGATTCATCATATGGTTTATGTAATATTTCTAACATTTCAGATGCTATGGTAACATCACTTGATAATGAGGTTTTTACATTTCACGTTCTTAATGAGTTAAAAGGAAGTTATTCTCCCTTTGCTTTAGAGATAAATAGTCGCATGAATTTGTTTAGAAAAATTATAACTTAATTAATTTAACCCCCCCCCCCCCTGACAGCCCCCATATTTGAAGATTTTGGTGAAACCTGGCAAAATACATTAATTATTAGGTTCCAGAAGCCCCCAGAAGCTTTATGATGGCCCCCAGTGGCCCCAAGAATCTATACAGGGGCCCCAAGTAGCCCCAAGAAGCTATACTGTGCTCCCCAGAAGCTATATGTTGGCCCCCAGAAGCTGAATAGTGGCCCCCAGGAGCTATACGGTGGCTCCCAGAAGCTATACAGGAAACCCTGTGGCCCCCAGGAGCTATATGGTGGCGCCCAGAAGCTATACAGGGGCCCCCAGTGGCCCCCAAAAGCTATATGATGGCCCCCAGAAGCTAATTAGTGGCCCCCAGGAGCTATACGGTGGCTCCCAGAAGCTATACAGGGGACCCCAGTGGCCCCAAGAAGCTAAACGATGGCCCCCAGAAGCTATACAGGAGCCCCAAAAAGCTACATGATGGCCCCAAGAATCTATATGATGGCCCCCAATGGCTCCCAGAAGATGTGAAGGGCCCCCAGTAGCCCCTAGAAGCTATACGGTGGCCCCCAGTGGCCCTCATAGGCTATATGATGGCCCCCAGAAGCTAAATAGTGACCCTCAGGAGCTACATGGTGGTTCCCAGAAGCTACACAATGGCCCCCAGAATCTATATGGTGGCCCCCAATGGCTCCCAGAAGCTATAAAGAGTCCCCCAGTAGCCCCTAGAAGCTATACGGTGGCCCTCAGTGGCCCCGAAAGCTATATAGTAGCCCCCAGAAGCTATACAGGGGCCCACAGTGGCTCCCAGAAGCTATACGATGGCCCCCAGAAGCTATGCAAGGGCCTGCAGGAACTGTACTGTAGCCCCCAGAAGCTATACAGGGGCCCCCAGTGGCTCCCAGAAGCTATAAGATGGCCCCCAGAAGCTATGCAAGGGCCCGCAGAAACTATACGGTAGCCCCCATAAGCTATACGATGGCCTCCAGAAGCTATACAGTGTCCCCCAATGGGCCACCATATAGCTTTGGGGGCCACCGTATAGCTTCTAGGGGCTACTGGGGGCCCTCTATAGCTTCTGGGAGCCATTGGGGGCCATCATATAGATTCTGGGGGCCATCGTGTAGCTTCTGGGGGCTGCTGTATAGCTTCTTGGGGCCATCGTATAGCTTCTTGGGGCCACTGGGGTTCCCTGTATAGCTTCTGGGTGCCATCATATAGCTCCTGGGGGCCACTAATTAGCTTCTGGGGGCCATCATATAGCTTCTGAGGGCCACTGGGGGCCACCATATAGCTTCTGGAGACCACAGTATAGTTTCTGTGGGCCCTTGTATAGCTTCTGGGGGCCATCATATAGCTTCTGGGGGCCACTTGGGGCCCCTGTATAGATTCTTGGGGCCACTGGGGGCCATCATATAGCTTCTAGGGGCTTCTGGAACCTAATAATTAATGTATTTTGCCAGGTTTCACCAAAATCTTCAAATATGGGGGCTGTCAGGAGGGGGTTAAATTAAGTTATAATTTTTTTAAACAAATTCATGTGACTATTTATCTCTAAAGCAAAGGGAGAATAACTTTCTTCTAACTCATTAAGAACGTGAAATGTAAAAACCTCATTATCAAGTGATGTTACCATAGCATCTGAAATGTAAGAAATATTACATAAACCATATGATGAATCATCTTCACTTCTAATCATGCTTTATACTTCAGATACTTTAAGAATCAAGAATATGAAGAATATGATGAAAATCAGACTATATGTATACTATTTATATGAATCATTGAAAGTGCATGGTAAATTATAAAATTGGATCTTTAATATACAGGGTCGAGATAACCGTTTTGACCCCTGTGAATGATAGTCAAAATACATGTAAGCTTTCCACATACTTATTAGTTCAGTTCAATACATGCACATTTTTACTCAATAAGATTGAAACAACTATGGTTGTTACTTTTTTTGTTAATTTAATATTCTTTTTATAATTGTCAAACAATGACGTTCACAGTAGCTGCCTCCAAAGCTGGATAATTTTGTTAATTCTGATCCAATTTTGAAGATTTGTTGTCTCTTTAATGTTGCTTATATCTTCCACTCATCAAATAAGGGACAAAACTATGCACACATTCTGTCATACGGCCTCAGTTCTAATAGATATGTTGCTATACTAGGATATTCTGAACCAAAAATGGATTGATGACGTCACAATTAATGCAAATTAGCTAATTTGCATACTTGAATATTGTAACCATATAGTAAATTTAATAAGGTTTAATCAGATACCAATATCATCTCTATAGACCAAATAATGGCGAAGCTACATTGATTCAAGACTCCAAGGTAAGATGTATGTATTCTGGTATATTATTGTCAAATAATGACATTCACGATAGCTGCCTCGAAAGTTACATAACTTTCGTAATACTGATTCAATTTTGAATCTGTTTTCACTTTTATGTTGCTTATACCTTCTTCTAATAGAATAAAGGACAAAACCTTTCAGAAATTTTGCCATACGGCCTCAGTTCTAATAGATAAATTGCTATAGTTGGAAATTCTGAACCAAAAATAGATTGATGACGTCATAATTTATGCAAATTAGATAATTTGCATAATTGAATATCAGAAATTTATTGGAAATTCAACGAGGTTTAATTTGGTACCAATATCATTTCTATAGACCAAATAATGACAGAGCTACAAATGATTTAAGATACCAAGGTAAGATGTCTAAAGATGCGTAACCATGGTAACTGAATGCCGCCATAAAAGTACTATGGGACATTAGTTGGCAATGTTAACAAATGAATTCATTAAATAGACACCCTAGGGATTACAAAAATGTATGTGACTTATTCACACCTTATGGGTGCATGGGAACCCCTTGTTCCTACTATACTATAAATTACTAATAAATGCCTTCAGAAGTTTACCAGCAGAGAAACATTTTGGGCTGTTTCTAAAATGCAGTTTTACTCACAAATACATTTTTCTTGTAAGTACAAACCTGAATTGTTGATCCACTGACAGAAGAAATTTTTAAGCTCATTTCAGCCTCTTTTTCCTTTTCTTTTCCTGGTTCTGATTGGTCCATTTTTGTAGCTGTCTGCCCTGACTTCTCAACTTCCTTTTCTGGTTCTGGCTGGTTTATTTCTTTAGTTGAATGCTCTGATTGGTCATCTTCCTTTCCTGGCTCTGATTGGTCCATTTCTGTGGGTTTCTCTGGTTGGTCAGTTTCTTCTGATATTCCCTCAGCTAGAAAAATTCATTAATACCAACATAACAAAATAAAGTGGGTTGATAAAGTTCGTAATTACTCAATTACAAGTAATTTAAAAACTTGTATACATGTTTTTTTCATTGAAAAATAGTAATTTTGTAATTTAATAACATACCCGAGGGTTCACTGTATATAAACCTTGACAGGTTTTAGGATCTGGTATGAGAATCCCCCCCCCCAAATTATGACTTTTGAGGTATGGCAATGATCGGATTTTTCCCGTTTCTGGTATGAGAATGGTCATGGAAAATATGGTATCTCTCACTTGTGGTATGGCATTGGTCTAGCTGTTACACATATCCTTAATAAGTTGAGGTTGTTTTGGATCATTTTCCTCAAGGATATGGCTTTTCCCGGGGCTTTAGACATTTTGACCTTGGTCTATATTTGGATATTTAGTATGGCATTGGTCATATATTTGGACATTTGGTATGGCATTGGTCTTATATTTGGACATTTGGTATGGCTTTTGGGCGTTATTTTGGTTGGTATGGGAAAAAATTGACATTTGACAGATTGGTATGGGAACATATTGATAACTGAGGGTTCAGCCTAGGACCCCTGCAGAATTTTGTATAAAGTGAACCCCCGGGATAACATAAAGCTGCAATTAAGCTAGTCTTATATACCATGCTGGACCTATGATTAAATTAAGGTTAAAGTGACACAATCATTTTCATTCATCATTAGATATTATATGACGAAAAGGTAAAAAACCGAGTCTTATGATTATGTAACTCTATTTCAATTTTGATCAATTAATGTGGCTGTATTGCATGCAGCAGAAAAATTCCTTCACATGGAAAACAACAAGACATTAACGTGTAAAATGTCACCACTTGCTATTTGATACAGACGCCGATCGCCGAACATCAACTGTCAAACACAAGCAATACAAAAGACTATATAACAATACATCACCACTTCTAGTGACATAAAAACCATGCACCTATCGGTTAAAAAAGTGCAAAAAAAATAAAACAGCTAAAACTTTCTAATTAAAGTAGGCTGGGAACGGGTATGTGTATTCGAGGAATACATCAAAACCTGGGGACATCAGAATGAAAATCCAAGGATTATCCTGAAATATTAACACTGAACAGACAATATGGAAAATAAGCATCAGATGGAATAATGAACAAAAGGAATTGTAAAATTGTGACAATGTTTTCCAAACTAAGCCTCAACTCATCTTGATCCCTTCTTCCAGTTCATTTTTAATTAAAATATAAGAAAGAAGACACTATGCATCTGAAAGGAAAAAATGTTAGAGGCTACAGCAGCTTCGAATCAAAACAAACAAACAACAAACAAACAAACATTGGGTGACTCAGTAAAAAACCAGAACAACGGCAACGCCAAAGCGTAGCGAATCCCATCGAACAGAAATAGCTGGCATTTTTACAAACGAAATATATAGCAAATATCATAAAATAACACACATAAGAAAGTTGTGTTCAGAAGAAGTAAAATGCTTTTTTATAGTATTCACATGCCAAATATGAACAAAATCGCTCCACTACTTTTCGAGTTACAGTAAAATACTTTAAAATGGTGGCCATTTTTCAAAATGGTCGCCTTCTACCAAAAGTGTCATTAGACAGTGTGCCATGCTTATATTATTCACATACCAAATATGAACAAAATCGCTCAACTACTTTTCAAGTTATAGTAAAATCCGTTAGAATGGCGGCCATTTTTCAGAATGGCCGCCTTCTACCAAAAATGTCATTAGACAGTGTGCCATGCTTATAGTATTCACAAACCAAATATGAACAAAATCGCTCCACTACTTTTTGAGTTAAAGTAAAATATGTTAAAATGGCGACCATTTTTCAAAATGGCGGCAAATTTTCAAAATGGCCTCAGTGTATGCCCTAAGGATTCCAGAGCTGCTGGTCAAAAAGGCATTGCTGACCAGTTGCAATGTTATTTTCCTATACCTAGTGAAAAAATCAACTGGTCAGTATCAAAAGTAACCAGATAATGACCAGCTGTCCGACGCTTAAGGCGTGCCCTGAATGGCCTCCTCCTACCAAAAGTGTCATTAGACAGTGAGCCATGCTTATAGTATTCACATACCAAATATGAACAAAATCGCTCCAATACTTCTTGAGTTACAGCAAAAATCATAAAATAATGAGTAAAGGCCGCCATTTTTCAAGATGGCTGCCATGTGCTATTTTAATTTCTACATTTCTAGCTTTATCAATGTCCTATATAATTTTTTTACATTTAAAACATAATGCTATCACAGTTTTACATATTGCACCTAAATTAATGTAAAATCGGCACTAAAATGGCAGCCATTTTTAAATGAGCGGCCATTTTGAAAATCGGCTTTTTAGCAGAACTTCTACCCCCATAGGGTATATTTGTACAAAATATGAACAAAATCGGGCCAACGGTATTTGAGTTATTGCCCGGACGGACAGACGGATGGACGGACGGACGTACGTACAGACGTACGTACGTACGGACGGACGGAGGCGTTCCCTATATCCCTCCGAACTTCGTTCGATGGGATAAAAAAACATTGGGTGGCTCAGTAAAAAAACAAACATTGGGTGACTCAGTAAAAAAACAAACATTGGGTGACTCGGTAAAATGAAAATGTCAAATAAAAAGAAACAAGGAATTAACATGCAAAATGTCACCACCTCCCATTTGTTACAGATGATGACTGCCGAATGCTGTTACAGACACTGAACGCCAGCCTAATACCAGCCACTGAATACCAGTCATAAAAAAGTTCTGGTGGTGACATAAAAATCCAAAGACAAGAAACCGGGGGTTTTAGGGAGCATTTCTTGTGGCAAAGCAGGCACCACTAAACAGATTAATTATTAAGCGTCTATCAAGGAGGATTGGCTCAACGAATGCAATCTCAACATTCTTTTGTTTCTTTGGGTACCCGAGTTCGGAACACATACTAAATCCCAGGTATTTAACAATCTCTTGAATAGCCCAATCGTGATTAAAAATTAAACAGTCTGCCATTTTTTCACTTCACATTTTGAACGCAAGTTTTGGTCTTATCACATAACAAAAAATTTCAAAACACACAAGAAGTAATCAAGATATTAGCTCAAATCTTTTGGATTGCTGATCATGATTTTATGTCCATTGTCAGACAATAACGACATTGAACATTTTCATTGTTGGAAAATATTGAAATTACATTCAAGGAGCCAATCCTCTTTGGCGTCTAGAAAGCAAGAGTTTTAAATCAACTACCTAAATCAAGAAGTTCTTTCTTGACTTCAACAGAAGATGACTCTGTGTTAGTTGGAGAGGATCGATGATCAAGAGAAGATCCAAGATCAATAGAAGGTTGAGGATCTTGATCAGGATCGGTATTATCCTCCCCCTCACTAGCCTCTCCTTTGACCACAACAGGGTTAGCTTCATCCATAGAGCCAAGAATATTACCAGAAGTATTGGTTTCAGAAATGTTATCTGTAGAAGGTTCATGGTTTCCATCTGCAAAGGTTTCATTAGGTTTTATAGTATCATCTATGGTTTTGGTAGTTTTAGTAAGATTATTAGAGTTATCGCTATGGCAACTTTGTAAGTTTGTGATGTCATCCATCGCCTGGGTAACAGCTTGAGCGAGACGATCAGTGCCAGAAAGAGAAGCAGCTAAAAGAGCACGTCAAATGTTAGAATATAATCTTGAATGATTATTTTTGAGCAGAAAGATGCAATGAGTTAGGAAGCAAGAACTAACATGTCAAACTACCATGTCAAAATTGTCACAAGTGAACACCCCTGGAATTTTTCAAAAAGTGAACCCCCTTGGCAAAGTCTGGCTACGGGCCTGCCACCAATGTGACATAACTTCTAGAAGATGGTGATAAAAATTCCCTAAAACCGATTAAGACAAATACTCATAATTATTTCAAGGTTACATTTTACAGAAAAAAGATTAGAGTAAGAAAATGTCAATCTGGTTAAATACAGGCTTTCTATAAAGACTATGTTAAGTGTAGTGTAAAGAGACTTTATGGACACCCTGTATATCATTCAAAATATTTAACAAACTGTTAGATTTTCAAACATTTCTTAATAGGTACACTTTGAATTGCATGTAGTTCCCCCCCCCCATTTATACATTATACGCTGAATTCGAGAGAATAAAGTTTGCGCTTGCATATTTGGGAAACTCAAAAAGGTATACTCAAATACTACTTGTGGTGTGACCACTTCCCAAAATAGCAAACTGTTGATCTTGAATATAACCAGTCAAGTTCAAGTTTGTAAACACAGAAAACTACTCACATTGACTTTCATTAGGTTTTGTACACTCATCTAACAAGGCATCTTCCTGTTCTCTGGTTAAGTCCTTTTCTTCAGTTGGTTCATTGGACTCCTCTTTTACATCCATATCTTGGTTATCAACATCGTTGGGTTCTTCCTTTGAATCAGATGATTCAGTTGTTAGTTTTTCACAAGTCGTTGGGTTGTCTTCCGGATTTTCGGTGATTATATCTGTGTTTTCTAAGAGTTTGTTTTCCTCTGCTTTTTCAGTTTCTTGATTGTCTGATGTAATTTCAGATTGATTATCAGCTTCAGGGGTAATGGTTTTTTCCCCTTCTGTATTTGTTGTCTCAACCTCATTTTCTTCATCAGTTTTAGTTGGTGTCTCATCAGGTTTTATTGGAGTATCATTATCAACATCATCGTAGCCTTCGTCATCCACAGCTTGAAGAGGTGGGCCAACAGGCTCTAATAAGGGCTGTTCTGGTTTTCCTGTTTTTTCATCTACAACTGATGTCATAGACTGAGGGGTGACCTCATTCTGTTGAGTTGTTGGTTCACTTGCATCTGAAATCAGAATCAAGATGGTCAAAATGCAATGTTCTATAGAAATTTCATATTTTATATAATTTAGTATAAATCATAAAATATGAGATATGCAACAAATAAACTTTCTCATTTTCATTAGTTTGAGACAGACTCAATAACCCCTAAAGAGCAGGCAAAAAACTTAATTTGCAATATTTCAATTTATTCTATAAATCTTTTTTAAGCAAGTCAAAAAAATTATAGAATAAGACAAAATATTGCAAATCTCACACATTTTGTTATTAATTTTAAAATATATAAAGCGATTTTCTGTTGATCATAAGTTCTTTTAATGCCTAGATCTGCAGTTTAACAGACAGTACATCCAGACTGATCCAGAAACTTCAAGAACCTTTCCTACAATGTTTTGCCAAAAATAATAGATACAGAAAGTGAACCAGAACAACGGCAACGCCAAAGCGTAGCGAATCCCATCGAACAGAAATGGCTGGCATTTTTACAAACGAAATATACAGCAAATATCATAAAAACACACCAGAAAGGCCACCATTTTCAAAATGGTTGCTCACTAGCCAAGTTGTCATCAGAAGAAATAATATGCTCTTAAGTAGCCACCTATAAAATTTTTGAAAAATCGCACACATGTACTTGTAAAATAACACACATAAAAATGGTGGCCATTTTTCAAAATGGCCGACTACACCCCAAAGTTTTATTAGACAATGTGCCATGCTTAGAGTATTCACATATCAAATATGAACAAAATCGCTCCACTACTTTTCGAGTTATAGTAAAAAATGTAAAAATGACAGCCTTTTTTTAAAATGTCCGCCTACTACCTGAAGTGTCATGAGACAGTGTGCAAGGCTCGTGAGTATTCACATATCAAATATGAACAAAATCGCTACACTACTTTTCAAGTTATAGTAAAAAACGTAAAAATGGTGGCCATTTTTCAAAATGGCCGCCTACTACCTAAAGTGTCATTAGACAGTGTGCCATGCTTTTAGTATTCACATACCAAATATAAACAAAATCGCTCCACTACTTTTCGAGTTATAGTAAAATACGTTAAAAAGGCGGCCATTTTTCAAAATGGCCACCTTCTACCAAAAGTGTCATAGGACAGTGTGCCCTGCTTATAGTATTCACATACCAAATATGAACAAAATCGCTCCACTACTTTTCGAGTTATAGTAAAATACGTTAAAATGGCGGCCATTTTTCAAAAAAAAATTTCAAAATGGCCGCCTTGTGCCAAAAGTGTCATAAGACAGTGTGCCATGCTTATAGTATTCACATACCAAATATGAACAAAATCGCTCCACTACTTTTCGAGTTATAGTAAAATACATTAAAATGGCGGCCATTTTTCAAAATTTTTTTTCAAAATGGCCGCCTGGTACCAAAAGTGTCATAGGACAGTGTGCCATGCTTATAGTATTCACATACCAAATATGAACAAAATCGCTCCACTACTTTTCGAGTTATAGTAAAATACGTTAAAATGGCGGCCATTTTTCAATATGGCCGCCTTCTACCAAAAGTGTCTTTAGACAATGTGCAATGTTTATAGTATTCACATACCAAATATGAACAAAATCGCTCCACTACTTTTCGAGTTACAGCAAAAATCGTAAAATAACGAGTTAAGGCCGCCATTTTTCAAGATGGCTGCCATGTGGTTTTTTAATATCTACATTTGTAGCTTTATAAATGTCCTTTATAATTTTTTTACACTAAAAACATATTGCTATTACAGTTTTACATATTGCACCTAAATTACTGTAAAATCGGCACTAAAATGGCTGCCATTTTGAAATGAGTGGCCATTTTGAAAATTGGCTTTCGAGCAGAACTCCTGCCCCCATAGGGTATATGTGTACAAAATATGAACAAAATCGGGCCAACGGTATTTGAGTTATTGCCCGGACGGACGGACGGACAGACGGACGGACGGACGTACGTACAGACGGACGGACGGACGGACGGACGGAGGCGTTCCCTATATCCCTCCGAACTTCGTTCGATGGGATAACTACTGTACCATCATTTTCTACTGAGCCAATCTCCATATCCTCTTCAATGTCCTGTTCTGCAGTAGGCTCAATGACAGCTTCAGGCCTCTCAGTGTCCAACACCTCCATAGGGCTAGAGGTATCCATGGGAGTCTCCTCATCTTCAACTTCTGGAAAATGAAATACACATTTAATATTACTAAATGACTTATGTGTAAGAACATGTACACATGGAAATTCAAATCAATATGTCAAGTGGTTTGTCTGAAAATGCATGAACAAAAAGTTAGGTGGCGCCTGCAGCGGACACTCTTGCCAAGCTGACAAATTGAAAATAATATTGTACCTTAGGTATAGAAGTGCTTTGTTACAGGCCAAGAAATCAATAATCTTTGAATTCCAAATAATTTTTACCTTGACTTATTGGGCCGGCATCAACCCCATCTTCACCTGTGTTATAATCCTCTCTTGTTGCTTGATTCGACTCTTCATTGGATTCCTGGTTTAACTGTTCATGAGGTTCCTTATCATCACTGAGTTCTTGATTTGACTCTTCATTGAGTTCTAGATTTGACTCTTCATTGAGTTCTTGATTTGATTCTTCGTTGAGTTCTTGATTTAATTCTTCATTGAGTTCTTGATTTGACTCTTCATTGAGTTCTTGATTTGACTCCTCATTGAGTTCTGGATTTGACTCCTCATTGAGTTCTTGATTTGACTCTTCATTGAGTTCTAGATTTACCTCTTCATTGAGTTCTTGATTTGACTCTTCATTGAGTTCTTGATTTGACTCTTCCTTGGGTTCTTGATTTGACTCTTCATTGAGTTCTTGATTTGACTCTCCATTGAGTTCTTGATTTGACTCTTCACTGAGTTCTTGATTTGACTCTTCATTGAGTTCTAGATTTGACTCTTCATTGAGTTCTTGATTTGACTCTTCATTGAGTTCTTGATTTGACTCTTCCTTGGGTTCTTGATTTGACTCTCCATTGAGTTCTTGATTTGACTCTTCAGTGAGTTCTTGATTTGACTCTTCAGTGAGTTCTTGATTTGACTCTTCTTTGAGTTCTTGATTTGACTCTTCTTTGAATTCTGTGTTTGGGTCTATGTTGCTTTCTTGATTCGATTCTTCATTAAGTTCTTGATTCAAATTCTCATCAGGTTCCTGATTCAACTCTACACTGGGCTCTAAATTGATATCTTCATTGGGTTCTAAATTGGAATCTGCAGATTGATTTTCTTCTCTCTCAACAGATTTTTCTGGCGAATCTCCATTGACTTCTAGAATATAAAAATCAATATTTAACTCAAATGTGATACCGATTTCCATAATGAAAAAGATTTGATATGTTTCAGATACAGCCCTAGATTTCAGATACAACTCTTCACCAAAAAAACATGACCTCTGATCTGACTTTATTACATACTTAACTCCAAAAAGGACAACCATTTCCTACAAATACAGCCCTTCAATTGCCCTGTTTGTAAAATATACCACGTGTGTTGCTGATTAAAGGTTGTATTATGTAGTAAAGGGTTTAGTCATTCATTATTCAAGGGCATTAGTGAAGGGTAGTATAGAATAGAATCTCAAAATCGCTAGAATCTCAAAAATAGCCATGCTTGGTTGTAATTTCAAGAATGCTGATTTTTTGAAATACATGTACTGTATTATCTAGTCTTGAACATACCACTTTCTTGTAATATTACATAATTTTTGAAATATTATGATAAAATAATGATTGAGCAATGTAACAGAAAACATGTCAACAGTGGAACAAAACAGACCAATATCTCCTGATTTTTGAAATTTTTCATTTTCCCACTGCAGTGCGTATTTTGAGACACTGCCATGTGAGTTTGATATGTAACTTCAACTACTTGCCAGTATTAAGATTTCCATCATTGTTTCCAGTAGAATCTGTTAGTGCATCACCTTGCCCATTGTCCATTATAACAGGAGCTTTCACAGAGACAGGATCCTCGCAGGGTTCGTTCATTATCTGAAATCAAAAGGGTTAGATATTGTTTCCGTTTGAACATCAAAGTCAATCTTAAAATATTTGACAACATAGTATCATTGGGAATTATGAGGAAAAACAAGCAATCACAAATCAACATACTTTTAGGGTTTGTGTAAAAAACTGGGTGACTGGGTTGCCAGCTACCTAACGTTCCTACCAGGGTTAGGAACGCAGGTAACCATTTAGTTTTATAGCCGATTATTTTGAAAAGTGCTCTTATAGGTTCTTGGTAAAAATTATAACATGTAAATATTGAATGGTAGTCTACACCTGGGAGGCTATGTCTTACTCGAGTCTCTAGCTAGAAGTAATTTCATCCGGAACATTGTGAACCATTTTAAAATCGCCAGATAAATAAATCATGAATTAAAATGGAACTGGCTGGGCTCCTTGATTAGATATTGCAGGATTTCATCAGGATTTCGTCTGAAATTAAAATAAACGGCTCCAAGAAAAATGGCGATATATTTGAAAACTGGAGGAAATGTCGTTATTGTCTGACATTAGTAACTGGCTGTAAATTCTAAGTTAGCGATCCAGAAGATGTGAACTAGTACATTGATCACTTATACATGTGTTTTGAAATTTTTGGTGATGTGAAAAAATTTGATTTCAAATTTAATGATTACGACATGACCCGTATACAGCAGTAAAAAACATGCAGGGATTTATCTTTGGACGAAGGCCACGATATAGTGGCCTTATAGAAGACGGTAAGCTATGTCTATTTAGTAGTGTTGTCACGATGTGCCATAATTGTACATCGATGCATTAGCAATTTTCAGTAGTAAACATCGATGCACATCGCGATGTACATCGAGAAAAAGTCCGAGAAAAGTGCACTGAAATACCGAACGCTAATGCACTAAAATACCGAACAGAACAAATAAATAAGAGTACGCTGGTACATCCGGGAACTTCTAGTAACGGTGAAATGAAAGTAAAGTAAATCTTTTTTAGATTAATGGTTCATTTCGACGACCTAAAACAGTTTTAAAGCGAAAGAATATCAGAAAACATTGGAAAATGAAATAAGACATGAGAAAGGTAAGCGATTTGCGTCAAAATAAGATAAGAAAGGGTGATTTTTAGCAAATTAAATTTTTTTAAAAACATCGATGTTTTGTTTCAGACATCGATGCAGCGCCAGAATCAGCTTTGGCGATGTATATATAAGGGTTATGTACTGGGAGGTTTTGGATATGGGGTTTATCCAGAGGGAGATATGCATATCTACCTTAGGGACCGTAGGGACCGAAGGTAGATGTGCATATCTCACGAGGGATGAACCCAATATCCAAACCGACCGTACATAACTGCTTTATCCTATACCAAGTAGAGTTTTCTAATTTTCTTTCGATTTTTTTTTCATTTTTTCAAATTTTTTTCACATTTTTCTAATTTTTTCAATTTTTTCAATTGTTTTTCAAATTTTTATTTTTTTTATTTTTTCAGATTTTTTTCTTTTTTTCAATTAATTTTCGAAGCGGGAAGATATGCCCTGGAGCGGGAGATATGGCGGGAGATATTGAGGTTCAGGATATGGAAACCTCAAAATCAGGATACGGGATATATCTTACCAACTTATCTCCCTAAAACTCTACTTGGCATAGGATAATGCGATGTATCGATTTATCGCGACAACTACTATTTAGTGCTCTAAAGGTCAATTGACTTTAAAGTTGGTAACCATGCCAGGAACTTTATGTACCCAGTCACTCATCAACCCGTTTGCCTTTTTTTTGTTGTTGCAAAAACCCATACTTTTACAGCGACCTGACAGTGACCTCTATCCATGATCAGAGTAATATCTTTCAAAATATCTCAAAGTATGCAAAGTCTCCCTTATAAGATAAATAGTTCCTGTAAAATTATATTTCCAGAGATCTAGTTCATCTAAGCTTACATTCAAAATTTTGCTTTCAGTTCCAACTCTGAATAAATTGAGGAACCCTGTAAGGACTGTGAATAAATGGTAGTCTACTCTGATTTGCACATCCAAAGCCTAATATCTTCAAATAGATTCAAAGACAAACGTTTCTTCGATGTTGCATGACATCTTACCTTAGTCTGGACATCAGTTGTGTGTTGCAGACTGTTATCGGGACCGTCTCCAGAGACTTCATCAGTCTCCATGATGTTTGCAGGTTGAGGTTCACTTTTCAAATGACCCACCAAAAGTTGCTTTCGAATCGTTGACTTCCGCTTCTTGTAGGAAGAAAAGAATGTGTGATTTTGTTCAAAGATTACTTTTGCTGATGCAGTGCATAGCTTCAATATTGCAAAATTAAAGATAATCGCCCATATCTTTCCCCATAAAGTGGTTTTATGCAAATCCCAATCACAATGAGCCTCGTTCTGAAAAAGTGGCCGCTATGTATCTGCCCTTTTAGACTATTCTTTATTTAGCTATTTATAAGTGAAATCAATAAATGATGTTTTTCTTATTAACAATTTTTGAATGATATATGTATATTGATAGCAATGGGTCCAGTGAAAGAACTTCGTTTGCACGTACGTGATGTCGTTTTGATGTTTTGTACGTCGTGAGTTTCCGCCACATGTGATCAAGCCGCCATATTGAATTAAAAATCGGAGAGAAAGGAAGCGCACTCGTAAAGACATTTTCCACCCTTTACACTCCTCTCTCCACTATCAGACATCATAAACACACACCATGGTCGGACAAGCTGTACGAAAGAGTGCTGCAGCTGATTTTGAGGTGAAGAAGGAGAATGAGCGACGTAGCATTGGAAGCAATGGTAAAAATGACCGAGACACAAATCCTTCCCCACGCGATGAAAATAAAACTGGCCGAAATGACCGTCCATCTGACAATAGACGAGACGATAGAAACAGGGATACACAGAAAGACAGACGAGACGATAGGGACCGTGATAATAGGCGAGATAGGGACAGAACTTCAACTACAAAAGAAGACACAAATTCCAAAACAGAAACAAAGGAAGGTGAAAAAGTTGAGAAAAAGTTCACTGGAAGATGTAGGTTATTTGTGGGGAATCTTACTTCAGATATAACTGAACGTGAATTCAGAGATCTCTTCAAACCGTTCGGTGAATGCTCGGAACCTTATCTCAATCAAGCAAGGGGTTTTGGTTTCATCAAACTGGTAAGCATGAAAATATCTCCCTCTTGTTCGACTGATCATCCTGTTGTTTCAGTAATATCCTATCACTAAAAACCATCTAATTATATGTAAAACACTTTTATCTATTTCCCTTTGTGAAAACTCTCTCAGAATCAAATATGCATGTGTGCAAAATACAGATTCACAAATGTAGGAATGTTGTATAATTCTATAATTTTTAGGATACCCGACAACATGCTGAAGCTGCAAAACATGCCCTCGATGGAACAGCCCGGAAACTTAAAATCCTCAGAGTAAGATTCGCAACACATGGAGCAGCACTAAAAGTAAAAAATCTATCACAATGCGTATCAAATGAACTCTTAGAGAAAGCTTTCTCCCAGTTTGGAGAAGTGGAAAGAGCTATTGTAATTGTTGATGACCGAGGTAGATCTACGGGTGAAGGAATTGTGGAGTTTGCCAGGAAACCAGGTGCATCTCAGGCTTTGAGTAGAATCAGTGAAGGAGTCTTCTTGCTCACAACGTAAGTTTACTGCCCAATTCTTCCAAACAATTTTGAAAAATCCGTGCATTTTAACCAAGATGTAACCAATCTGTGTCAGAATGAAATATAGTACAAAAAAACTTATAGCCATATGCTAGAAAAAGAATTCAATGATGAGACGGAATTACCGTTTGAGGTTTACTATGAAACCAAACGCGGCACTTTCTGAGAATGCATTCCGATTGATTATTCTATTCTTTGAAACAACATTCCCACATTTAATAAACCAATTTTGTATTTCAAATTTCAGTTCGCCCAGGCCTGTGGTTGTTGAGCCTCTGGAACAGAAGGATGAAGAAGATGGTTTACCAGAGAGATACATGCAGAAAAACCAGAATTTCCAAAAGTATGTTTACATGGCTTTATTAAAAAATCCCATTTTCAAAATCTCAAACACAAAGTTGAATTCAGTGATGAGACGGAATTACCGTTTGAGGTTAACTATGAAACCAAACGCGGCACTTTCTGAGAATTCCATTTTTGATCACATTTATCAAAGAAATCTGAAATGAACATTTTTCTGCTTGTTATAAGAAGTGACATGCATTTAGTCTTGTTGAACAAGTGCTTTGATATTTTTAAAATATTATATTTTTTGTTGTCCAGCTCTTCTCATTTCAATGGCAAATTAGCAATTAGAAACATGTTATAGTAACATTATTATTTGAAATCAGTAGGTGACTAATCTTGCCTGCTGTATTATTTCTTGATAGTTTAATATTGATTCGTTGAGAGGATGTTATCTCTTTATTTGATCAAAATAAGTTAAATGAATGTTTTAAAAATATATCTTATAAACCATATAAATGCTGTCAAAATTAGGAGTGATAAAGTGAGGTATTTAGACATCACTCTTGCTTCCCAGGTCATTTCATGTGTTATTTATTATTAAGAATAAGTTATTGTATAAGTTAGTGCATTTGCATATCATGATCTTACATTATAATGATTTATAGTGGTTTTAACTTTACAATCTTAACTAAAAGTATTACCCAAGAGGCTATTACCTATACTTAGTCCACTTCTTGTTCTATTTGCGACATAAACAGATGTCATTCTGAGTATTCAAGAAGTTTTGACTTATTTTAGAGAGCGAGAAGAACCCCCTCGGTTTGCATCTATTGGATCATTTGAGTTTGAGTTTGCCCAGAGATGGAAGCAGCTCCATGTGATGAAGAAAGAACAGGAAGAGAACCTTCAGAAACAGGTCAACGAGGCCATTGAGAAACTAGAGATGGACATGGAGAATGCTATTCATGAACAGAAAGCACATCTATTGAGACAAGGTGAGTTTGTTATAAAATAATTTGCAGTACTATTGTGTAGTAATGTGTAATTTAAAGTTTTGAAGATAAGCATATTAAGTAGGACTAAGACCATACGTTTTAGAGGTTTGAAATTGATTTCTGTGGTTTTGTAACTTTAAAACGTACATGCAGACAAACACCATCCAAGTGAATAAAGTTTACTTTTTACGAGATGTAATAAGTGATGCACATGAAAATGGATTCAATGATGAGACGGAATTACCGTTTGAGGTTAACTATGAAACCAAACGCGGCACTTTCTGAGAATTCCACACGATTCTATCAAATACTTTATTGAGAATTATGAACTTTTTGATCTAGTATTAACATTGTGTTTTTCTAGATCTGATGAGAAGACAGGAAGAGCTTCGTCGTTTGGAAGAGATGCGTCAAGAACAACAAATGAGACGTCAAAATGATGAGTTACGACGCAATGAAGAACGTAGACGCCAAGAAGAAATGATGCGACAGCAACAGGAAGAGATGCGCCAGCGCAGAGGTGGAAATATGGATTCCATGGGTATGGGCATGGGAGGAGGAATGAATATGAGAGGAGGGTAGGTGCAAACTATTTGTATCATATTCCACTATGCTTATCTCAATTTGTAGTCTTTCATCAATCTTACACTGAAATCTGGAAGAGAATCGAGGAAGGGAATTGCTTTTGGGACTTATATAGTTCTTATATCCATAATCCTTCCACTTCCAATGTTTTACTTTAATGTTAAGATTATCAGAATTTGTGCTTATCAAAAATATTATCTATTCCCCCAGAAATAATCGTCAACGTGAGGAAGAAATGTTGCGCCAACAGCAAGAGGAGATTATGCATCGTCGCCAAATGGAGATGGGTGGTGGTAACAATATGGGTGGCAACAGACAAGATGACATCATGATGCAGGTAGGAAGAAGATCAAATATGGAGGTAACCATGACAACACAAGACAACAGAAGTAGAATAAGAAAAACACTAAGTGTAACATGGAAAAAGTACAAGGATATAGTGTAGCATAATATTGTGGATTGACATTTTCTTCAAGTGTACCTAAAAATAGATTTGTTGAAGAATTATCAGTTTATTTTAGATTGCAAATACCTTGGCGACCAATAAGGATCAATTGGTAATTCCTAGTTAAGTTTTTCAACTATTTGTGTTTAAGGTGTTAGCTGTGCTCAATGTTTTACTGTTACTACTGCTTTATAAATGTTTGTCTTGCTTCAAATCTGGTCTCATGTCTCTGTTTTGATAGGGAGAAGTAACTTCAGAACTTGATATATGAACACAAATTAACATGTGTATTTGAAAAGATTGCAAAATATTTCATATTGATAATAGAAAGCTTCATACATCATTGAACTTTCCTTGCTTCAAGTAGTAACTCTTTGAAATCTGTAATGTTTTGCTAAGGATTGAGCATAGACTGAATGATGACCTGAGACAGGCAAATTGTGGCAATCATGTTCGAAGCATTTAGTGTGAATTTTTGGGGAACCAATTTTTTTCAATGAAATTTGTTTGTATTTTTAATAAATCTGTTTTGTTTGAATAAGGGCGCTTGGGTGGATGGTCTAGCAATTCAGTATATGTGTAGAGACTTTGGAGACAACCCCTTACAAGTTGTATGTTTGCTATGTGTTCCAGCAAGAAAAAGCCATGCGAGAGATGCAGGGAGGTCGCGGTGGAGGTCGGGGTGGTGGTGGAGCACCCCCCATGCAGCCACCTCCCCAACCCCCAGCCTCACTTAGGGGTGGAGTACAGGTAAGTGGCGAAATTTGTTTGTTTTTTTGTTTTTTTTGGAGAATGATGTATATTGTGTTTTTTTGGAGAATGATGTATATTGAAAAAGTATCAATACAGATAATTGTTAGACACTAAATAAACAAATTGATTTTTTTTTTTATCAGCACTGGTAATCAATACAGGCTTGTTTCGATTTACTCTAAATTAATTTACATATATGTGCTGTATAGATTGAACAATAATATTTTGGTACAAACCATATATCATTTTATTCTTTACAGGGAGCTGGTGGGATGCAAGGTGGCCAACAAGGTTATGGCGGAGGAATGGGAAGTCAAGGCCAGATGGGCATGATGGGAGGTGGCGGAAGCCAACAGTCAGGGAGCAGTGGAAACGTAAGTGACAATGTATTTCTTTCAGGTAGTTGCTTACAAACTCAGATTCAACAGATGACTAGTTGGAAGCAATGGGGATTTCACTAGAAGTGGGCAACACACATTGTTTTCTTGGATGTTTTGCCAATCTGGCCCGAATTTTGCAATTTTAAATGATAATTTCCAAGAATTTTCCCCATCTTTGTTTTCATTCTTTGTTGCCGAAATTATACTGAAAACCCAAAGTCAATCTTATTATGTAGCATCTGTTTATTTCATTCTTTATGGTATACCAAGTAAACTTAAAATTTCAAATGTTGAATCTGAATTTGCAAGGCATATGTAAACCTAATATTATGTTAATGATGGAGATACTTTTATTTCAGGAACATAGCAATTACTGAGTGTAACATGCATAGTTGTCTTGTCCAATTGGACCATAATGATTCGTAAAATATGAAAATCATATTTACTTATCACAGAGAAGTTGATTATTGATGGGTCAATATCATATGATGAAGGATTTAAATGACTAAGCATAGCTATTAGGAAAACATTGTCCTACTCCTAGATATTTTGTTTTTAATGCACTAGAATATACGGGTTTATAAATATAAGTATTAAGTTGAGTTTAAAATTGATCTACATTAAATTTATTTTGCTCTGCTCATTCTGTTAGCTACCAACAGGATTCTAATCTATAAAGGTATATACTGAAAAACATGCTTATTTGCACACATGAAAATATATGTCTAATAATAGGTATACACACACTATACTGAGTGAAAGAGGAACCTGATTCAATCTGTTATTGGTATCACTGATTGTCCACACACATATATAATGTTTTCACATATGAAATGAATAAATCTCATAGGATTTCATCTACCATTTTCTGCTGATAGAATACTGATTTAAGATCAGTTTTAGTAACCTTTTGAGGAGTGCAATAAATATGATTTTCATAATGATTAAAGAATAAAAAACTTAGTTTGTAAGTACACTTGAAAATGTGATGATTGATATGATTAAACTGATTCAAACTGATATCTGTGGGGTTATATGAGTAATCCTCATAAGACTATTATTACCTGTATTATAAAACTTACAGATGGATTCTGTGTTTGAACTGATTTTCAACTTATTTCTAGTAAAATGTGATGGAGGGGGTGACTTGGAACATATCGTGTATGCCATCACTAACTGGTCAATGTTAAATTAAACAATAGTACACTTTTAGTGCTAGGAGAATTTGGTCATTACCAAAAAACAACAGGAAATTGTGTATTTAGTTAGACTTTGAAAACTTACACCACCATGGTTCACTATTTATCTGGTTCACTATTTATCGCACCCATGGGTGCTATATTGTGATCAGTTTGTCGGTGGGTGGGTGGTCTGCTGGGTGCGAAGATGGGCGTCCCGATAAACCTTGTCTACAGGTTTCCATCCAAACTGTTTTCAGGGATGTTTCTACCTACAAAAGTATAGAACTGATTAGTTTTTGGGCTGTCAGGGTAAATGTCAAGGTGGCCATTTTGGATTTTCCGTCCTGAAAACTGTCAATTCTATTCAAGGGTGCGATTCTATTCACTCTGTATCTTGTTTTGTATTATGATGATATTTGATTTAGGTTTACTTGTGCAGTGATAACTAAATTCAGAATTTTTCAATCTATTGTCAGTGCCTTCACTCAATATATGAAATGAAAATAAATGATAGATATCATAATCATACAATACTGTTTGGCAATGAATAATTATACCAATACCATTGAACATATCAAAAGTAGATAATGTTTGTATGTTACCATGGAGATTACATAGTTAACTTATTTTGAAATGAAACACCTGGAAAGAAGCTGATGAAGCTATTGAAAATCAAAATTGGAATATGAACTATGGTACATGTATTCAGTATAAATAACTTTTGAGGGTAATGACATGTACATTTGTAATTGCTAATACTGTAGAAAGGAGTTCTGGAATGTTTTACTTCATCAGTGATGTCAATTATTGAGTTGTAGGAACTATTATTGGATATAAGAGTCCATGAAGGTATTAAAGAGTCAATGTCCATTTGCAAAACTGATGTTTTAGTCCATAAAACACAATAATTCATAATGGTCATCAGGAGAAAATATGGCTTGTTTCGTTTCCTATTTTTCAACCATTACAGTGATCTCCAAAGGATTTTTTCTCAAGTGGATGCAACATTCCCATTTTCACAATTGGTGAAAATATTCCCATTTTTCTCATTTTCAAGTGGGTGCAAATGGATTTTCAGGTGGGTGCAAGCCTTTTAGGTCATTTATTTTTGCATCAAGGATTTTATGTTTTGTGACAACATTTCAATGTAGATCTTTGAGATTATACTAATAGGGCATGGTAAATTGTTGAGTTATATTTGGTGTGAATGTCCATCCATCTCTAGGTAACTTCTACATCTTTTGTGTTTTCGAATATTATACCTAATATAGGCTTAATATTATTCTACATCAAAATCAAAGGAATGTTAGATGATCTTTATAGAATAAAATAAAATGTTACAGATTTATTGATATGTTAACAGATATACATGTGCTATATCTGTATAAAACAATAACAATACAACAAGGTCGATTGGTAGAATTGGAAGAGCAGAGCAAAGATCAAAAAAAATTAATTTTAATTTTTAAAATTCTAAACAAAACAGTGCATTTTAAACAAATTCAAACCTAAATAATTGATATGTTTTTCTGTGTGTTCTTTCAGCCCAAAGTGGCAATATTATACCAGAGTCAGTCATACAGCAACCAAAATACTATTTGATAAAAAATAATAGGAAATCATCATAGAAAACCATGAATAACAGATTCAGTTGATTATTTTTTATATTAATATATATCTGTACCATAACATCCTTTTTCTTATTCCACAAATGGCTGATTAACATTGAATTTTAGGTTGTTTGAAAAGTGCAATGTTCAGTATTATATAATACTAGTTAACAAACACATTTTTAACAAATTTGGATATTTGGGATATTTGTATATTTATTCAACCACCAATTATATGTGACCTAGAATGATGACATTCAGCGGATAAATATGGTTTAATAGTGATTTGAGGGATGAAGGCAAGGAGCATATGTTTAAAATTACCACATTTGCTCTTGTATAAGTGTATGGAATCTGAGGTTAGACTTAACTAAACTATGGTGGGTCATTTGTCAATCTAGACTATTGGTGAGTTATGTTTCAAACTAGACTATGCTTAGCCATGTGTCAAACTAGACTATGCTGAGTCATGTGTCAAATGAATTATGATAAAGGACAATAAGACTACATGTAATACTATCCTAGTGTTGAACCAGGTACTGTCACAGTTAGTTCACTTATTGGAATCTTGTTAGACGATCTGTTGGATGTTTCTATGTTTTTCAGCCATTTTGCCTTGTGACTCTCAAATCAAACCCTGACAGTAAAACTTGTATACCAGTGAAACTGAAAGCAGTTGAAGCACATTGATACATCCTCCTAAGCAGGTGTCCAGAATCCGTACCTCTTTCTTCCCCCTGCTATAACCAATTTGGAAGCGCCCGATTAAACTGAATCACGTGATCTTATTATGCGCAATGACATATACATGATTTCTGTCGCAGTGTTGCGACAGCCAATCAGATTGCGAGTTCCTAATCGGGGAAATGCTAACTGCTTATCGCAGGGGGTAAAAAGAAAGAATAATCTGGATTTTGAAGCCCTGTGATCGGAGGATGACATTGATACAACTTTAAAAAGATTCTTAAGAAATTAAAGTTCAAATCTCATTTTAATGTTTCCTTCAAATTCACGTGTCCATGGATGCATGACTCTAGCTTTTACTTAAGTAAATTGTGTTCACAAATATACATGTTTTACTGTCTGGGTGTTCCAAAAGTATCTTGATGGCCGCTTCAATCTATGTTACTTTGGAACACCTTGTATATCTTGAATTATTTTTGAACTGGGGGTAAGGACTCCTATTACATTTGTTATTCGTGGTTTTGTAATACACAAATACTGTATTTGTGCCAATGGATAGATAGGAAAATGCATGAATATTTTTACTAACTTGTTCAACTGCTACTGTATGCTATATTATAAATATTATCTTTTGTACCAGTTTTCTTGCAGATGATATTGTTTATAGAAAAATGCCATATTAGGAATTATGGAATGATACCATATAAGGAGTTATCAAGTAGTGCCATATAAGGAGTTATCAAGTAGTGCCATAAAACAAAATATCGAGAGTCAATTCACAACGCAGAAATTGGGGTTTCTAAGAGATTGGTAATGTTTTTTAAAAAAGTGATAAAAAATCAAAACACTAAAAAAGTTAAATTGTTATGCATTCATCTCAGGTACCACTTATTTCAGTGGAGTTCTAACAATATAAGTGTGATACCATGTACCAGCAGGACTGTTCTTGTAAATACACATTTAGTCAGAATGTTATTGATGTGTTCAGTCCATCCAAGGATGAATGACAAGACCCAACTGTATATTATACGTAGTTGTTTTCAGTGTATCAGTAAATTGAAATTGTTAAATATAAAATGGCCATCCCCTTGCTTTGCTAGATGATACGTGATGTACTTCATGCCACCAAACGGTGATAGGTTTCTGAAGTTCTTCCCTTCATATCTCATAATAAACATCTCTTTAGACCATTTCACAGACTGCAATTTCCTGCAGGATCCAGGATCTCATTCAGGTTTCACTTGTGTGATAATGGCAAAAGACAGGATCTCATTTTGAGAATTTCATCAAATCCTCCAATTTGCCAAGATCCATTTTTATTGCTCCATTTACCTATAAAAAGCTATTCCTGTGAAAAACTAAGTCACTGAGAGTAAATAATGAGGCTGTTTACTATAAAGTCAGTTTCCAATAGGCACTAGACCATAATTTGAAGTTTGTTAATGTTTTACTGAATGAGTTAAGAACAGGTGGTGGCAACGGTGGCATATTGTTATAGTCTTCAACTTTTTTGTGGTGGCGGTAGGTGTTTGGCATTCAGTGGTTTGTGTTCAGCAGTTGCCATTTGGTGTTCATAACAAATGGCAGGTCGTGACATTTTGCATGTTAAGTCCTAGTTCTACAGTCTACATTTCTTTTCTTGATTTTTGGATCACATGGTGGGCTAAGGGAAGTCATTCTTTTCGAAAATGTCCTAAGATTGACACATTTAGATTTCTTCCATGTGGATTTTTATTGTCACACTTTTTGGTCCTGTTTTGCTGAGGTCTTGTGCTGATTGGCATCTGGGCAGTCGGGCATAAATATTGTCTTCAATATCCAGGAAAACAACTCGAAATTTTTACAGATGCAAGAGCAGACTATTTGCCAAGATCTTATTTTGGACAAACCTTTTCGAAAAAGTGTGATACATTTATCACTGCATGTCAAATATTTCTCTTCTCTTTTATAACATTCTTGACATCGGCAGGTGAATGCTAAAAAAGCATGGCTCAATGCCCAATGTTTCTTTCTATTTTAAAATGACCGATTTTGATCGAATTTAGTTTCATCCTTCAATTATTTTTATTTCATCAGACCTATATTAAGTAAATATTATATACATTGAATAGGTTACTAAAGAATTGTAAATATTTTTAAAATGGAGTAATAGTGTATGATGTAGGAGTGCAATTTCAGTTTCATTGTCACAAGGAAAGTGTTTCCTCTGATTTTGTAGGAACCATTGATTAATAAACATAACTAGGGGGAGGAATTGTCTTTAAGAGTTGAAATGTTCTAATGTAAAAGTACATAATATAAAGCCCAGTATACCAATCAGGCAAAATCCTACTTGCCCCATCCAGTTCCAACTTGCCCCATAGTCCCACGAAGTCCCATTGGACCCTGATTGAGTCCCATCGAGCCCCATGGAGTCAAATCATACCGTGCCTCACTCCATGGGGCAAAATCCCAATAAGTCCCACGTAATGTTAAGTCTATGGAGGTCCAAACTTGCCCCATTGGTATATACCGGGCTTAAGACTGGAAAATGTTGATATTCATCCACAGATGTTTCTTACTTCACCAAATGTTACTATACCATGAAGTTGCATTTCTCAGTTCAACATCAAAAGGAGGCAACATGGTTCTAAATTCATAATTATTAATGGATACCTTAGGCTAGATTACATTACATCTTACCAATATGATGTTGTTTCTTAGCACTGATATTACTTTACCTAAGTATGGATTGCTAAGTAAGTGTGAGGCCCTTTGTTGGTAATATCGGGATTATATCAGAGTTTGTATGTAGAAACTCAACCTATAAGTAAACTGGATAAATTGTACTTTAAGACAAAACTTATATGAATGCATAACAATTGTAAAAATCAAAATTGTAAAAGATCAATCTCTTAGCATAGCCCCAAAGGATGTCTATACTTTTGATAACTAGTGATGCTGCGGATGATTCAAATCTATATAATATGGGATGCAGCAATTATTCCTTATAGCATTTAGGAACCCAGTTTTGTTGATATGCCAGACTTCAATGATAAATCCCTTATAAGAGGATATTATAGGTTATAAGACCATATAAGGCATTGAATCTAATTTCGATATCTTTGTTTTCTTTATTTCATCTCACCTTGATGTCATCCAAAATGATTGATCCCCATTGAACACTCATCACCATCTATACAAACATTATATCCCATAATGATAAACATCGGACATTATATCCCATAATGATAAACATTGGATTTGGATAAACATCTAATGATTCTGAACATTTTCGTTTCTAACATGACTGTCATTCAAATCTTGAATTATGAATTGTTGGATCACTCAACTATAATGGACTTTTAATAATGGTTTGATAAACAGCCTGCCAGACAATCCCGCTTTGACCAACCCGCACCAAGTATGGGTGGTAGTGGTAACCGTGGTAGCGGTGGCAATTTCAACCAATATGGCAACCAAGGAGGTTCTGGAATGAATATGGGGGGTTCTAATACCAAATATGGTAATCAGGGTATGGGTATGGGAGGAGGTAACATGGGAGGGGGTAGAGATGGACAGGGTATGGGTGGAAACATGGGAGGTGGTGGCTCAGGGGGTATGCAAAGGGGAGGAGGCAATGGGATGGACCAACGAGGAGATAGGATGATGGATCGCCGTGACAACAGAAGTGGTGGTGGTGATGGATATGATGGTTATGATCAGAAACGACAGAGGAGGTTTTAGACCAGAATGCAACAGTGGAACAAACATTTAATGTGTAATAGTAGAGAGAAAGTGTAAATGTCAAAACATATTTTACTTAAATGACAGTTTTAGAAAACAGAACTTCTAATCTATCAAACTCTCAAAATGAGAAGAAAGTTCTTAAGAAAGATTATGTCTTGTTTATATTTTATCACAAGGGAACATTGTAGTTTGTACATTTGTAATATAAAGAAGTAATTTACCCCGAAAGTCAAATCATGGACAACTTAGCAAAATGAACATAATGTCCCAGCCAATTTAACATTGTACATAGATTTTAGTCTGAATTCAGTTAAACTAATATAATTGATTGCATTATGACTATTTATTTGCGATTATAAATGCAATTTGTTTTAGATTTTGATCATGTAGCAAACAACTATTCAGTTTGAGAATTATATCTGTAAATAATATATATACATATTTTGTGGTAAATTGTACGTTAAATAAATGTCGTAAATAATATTTTAATTCATGTTTCACATTTTTTACTGACACCAGTAAATGGTCAGATCTGTATCTGGATTGACCACTGGGATATAAAAGTTGTACTAGAGAGGCATAGGAATAATACATGGGGACATCTGCACATCACAGCAAATCAGATGCAGTTTTGATTTATGAAGAAATGAGATGAATATTGTCAGTCAGTATGGGGTTGGGAAGAAAAAACTGGGTAGGTATGTGAGAAAAGAAAGCTGTTGGAACCCTTTGAAAATTACATAGTGGTTCGAGTTATTTAATGTCAAGCATTAGACAATTCTACATATTTGTATGTTGTGAAAATGATGTTTTGTACTAATTGAGATTATTATGATTCAGTTAAGTATTTGCATGATAATTTGTAAGTACCTTATGACCTATAGGCAAAGTCAGAGAGCTAATGTCTGTTATTGTGATCCTATATTGCCCCGATGTATTCATCAGGATATGTAACTTGTACCTTTACCTTGGAACCAATCGTGCTACTGACTAATGAATGTTTATACCAAAGATTTTTGATGGCGCAAGTTACACATGACTATGATTAAAGACACTTTGGGGTTATTAATGATCTGAATTACCCATGCTGTGGGCAATATAGTAAACTTGATAATGCTCTTTGGACAAAGTAATTAAATTAATATAGACTGTTGGCGGTTGGGACTATATAGACATATATAAGCTGAAACTGAAGCTGACTTTTTAGATTGCTAACAGCATTGGGCTAACAGCATTAGAGGATGTCTTCCAGTATGAGGAATGTTATTAAATCATGAAAATTGTCAACTTTTGATCACCAAACTTGTTATTTTCGCCATTCTCGGGTGTGACGTCACAGTACAACACAATACATAGATTCCCAGATGAATGAATAGATGTACACCCGTTCATGTATAGAGAATTAGAGTGTGGTTATGCTATGCTTCATTCCGATTGGTGGAGAAACTCAATAAGAGAATGGTCATGTTTGAATTTGAAATACAGTACAAGTCTTATTTTTACATGTTGCATTATTCTCTGAATAAGTTGGCTATTTCAAACTACGATGTTAAGGATGCAGTACCGGGTCGGTTTTCACGTCTGTTTGCGCAGGTTTGACTTCCGGTTTGAGAAAGCTAGCTCCCAAGAACGTCATTTTCGCATTTAGTCTTATTCAAAAATTATAGTTTATTTCGATAATGGTGTTTCCAGAAAAGAATTAAATTGCAAACATTTTATTAAGCATATTTTATCCCTTTCACTTTTATGGGAAAACTTGTTCTTGAGTCGCAATTAGTGGATACGAAAACCAGGGTTCGAAAGGTGCCAGCTCTATTGAAAACTCAAAAAAGTAAAAAGATTCATTTTGGGTGGGTAAAATAATTTTTTTATTTTGTAATTACCAGACGGTCAATCCTCTTCATATTGCACTTGGATGATGATAACATCATAGTGATACATTGTAAAAAATATGAGCAAAATCTAATGTCTGGAACTTTTTCTACGCTGACCTGGTACTGCATCCTTAAGTCTCATACTTTGTTATTATTACAATATCTGACTCAATTATGAGTATTTGTCTGTTGAGGTCCATTGATAAACAAGTATCAGCTGTCAAATTCGGTTCAAACTTTATACTGGTACAAGAACCAACGGTTGAACAATATTTTCAAAATGCCTGCTTTAGAAATTGTTATCATTTTCTGCGAAAAACATTAATAAATGATAACTCAAGTATTACTCATTGGATTTTGGTAGGTTTTAGGTTATAGGCTAATGCATAGTGAGCACATATTATGTTAACAAGCGTAACCATATTTAGGAAACTGAGACATTCTCAAGTAAAATATTATGCAGAAACATGATATTTTGAATAAAAATGACCTGAAGATGCCTTGATAATTTGAGATTTTGATTCCACGGCAGTCACCATTTTAATGAATGGTGATATATTTGGTACCATCTTGAAACTTGTAACATATGCTTCAATTTGGTAGCTGAATTATGACATCAGATGATTAATGGTGATTATAACTTGAAAAATAAGTATAAAAATGCAGCAAAATAATGGCAGTACTCCACCATTGATTTGCTGATTCACTACTTGCCACAATTGACTTCACTTTATCACTGGATATCCTTCAAATATCTAAGTTGTCATTGTTACCAAAGCCGCATAGTTACTATGGTATGGCAACTGTGAAATGGGAATAAAAATTTGTGCAAAACATTACCCAAACTTAAAATAATAGCACTAATTACTAGGTAAATATTTCTAGATGTACAATTTTCCTTAACTTTCAATATCATCTAGAGCACCCTGAGAAAACATATAATTAAAAAAAATTAGGAAAGGTTTATCACTCATTTTTTGCTAGGCTTGGCCAAAGTAAAACTATGAAAAAAGCACTCATTTTCACATAAGAATCTGCTATTATCGCAAATGGCTATATTTTATCAAGGTCATCATTTTAAAACAGAGTCCGACAATGTTTGACTGTTTTTTTTTAGAATGAAACAACGATTTTTGCACTGATGCACCAATTTCCACAAGATTATTCACACGGAAGGGAAACTGAATTATGTCTCAATGGCCATTTTTGCACTACTTTTGGTGGAATAAATCCTTATGAACATGTAGCTTTTGCTTGTGAAAACTTTGACAAATGAAAAGACTTGTTTCAACTAGATTTGATGATAATTGTTTACAAGTTGTCTGCCCCACTCTCTGACATGACTTTTTGAATGAAAGACAAACCCTGATATTAAAAGCCAAACATGTTGCCAGTATTTATAAATGATTTTAATTTTATAGAAAAGTTATGGAAAAGTTGATGGTTTATAAAAAACACAACTGTAATAAAAAAAAATCGAAAGAGCTCTTCGGTTGTTGTGCCTCTCAATCTTCTATATACTATAAACTTCTATGTCATGGGATTGCGAGGGGGTGAAATGGTGATATCTTAGTGGTTACTAGTACTGCCAGGTAACTGTAATAAAGAGAAATACTAGAAGAATTTGCTTGATAGTAATGATGGCCACAATGAACAGAATCAACAGATTATAGTTACAGGCTTTAGAAGATGACAACACATCACCATGGAAACCAGTTTTGAGCATTACCAAATATGGAAATAACTGAGGTATGTATTCACTTCTTTTGCTTTATACTCCTGTTTACATGTGCTTGCTATTTATTGTGATTTTTGTAGGTGCAGATTTGATGATTTGATCATCATCCAAGGTTTCACTTAGGTGTAAGAGGAATATTGATATTCAATAACTCTAAAATGAGGTGTGAAGGGACTGTGGGTATTAGATTTTTAACATGTCACAATATGATACACTGAGGTGACTTTAATCTATTAAGTGAAGTTATGTTAAATTAATGATGATAATTTGGTTCAAAGTTCTTCTGCCAGCAGCCAAATATATTAGGGTGATAGTATGTATGATGAATGAACATCTAGGTTACTGGCATGCTAAGCATACAAAAACATTCAACTTCACCATACTGAAATTATTTGGAATTGAAGTTTCCATCTTTTCTTTGTGGTCATTTGGTCAATGTAAAACAAAATCTTCTAGGGTTTCGATGGAAGAGTCCTTGAACTGCAGCTTGCCATTGTTCACTTTATATTCACATTGCCATTAACACACAAAATCACATTTATTTGAATGTTACATGATACTATATTTTCTGGAGGTTACATTTTATGAGGTTGAAAATAACAATATTCAAAGTACAGTCATGGTGATATTAAAGGAATTAAAATGGTTATGATGTCATCCTTTACAACATTTTATGATTTTTGGAAGATGCAACTTGGCACATCTTCAGTATTTCTTAGGGTTTTTATTAGTTGAACAATGTATTCTTTCTTGTTCGTGAGGGTACCCTTTTCAGAAAGGTCAACATCTAATTTTATTTCCTGAAATCTTGATGATGTCATTCATGCTTGGCAAATGATAAGCTTATAGATTTAACCAGTCAGTGGAGGTGTGTCGGCAAATGATAAGCTTATAGATTTAACCAGTCAGTGGAGGTGTGTCTAAAAGGTATATTTTATTTGGGGACTTTAAAATCTCTTAAAAAACTCAGATGGATGGAAAATATTGTTGAAATTGTCTATGGAAACTTGAACCCCAGTCAGATTGAAACGGAGCTGCATTTGTAGCAGTTATTCTGAACCTAATGGACAAGGCACTTATGTGCCTATTGGAAACTTCATTTCTTATCCACGATTTGTTTCATCTTTGATTTCCAAGGTACAAAATTGATTAAATATTAAACTGGTTAACAATGATGGATTTATATCCTCATAATACAAGTGCATGATGGAGGGCTAACTGTTTACTGTAGGGGTAAATTTTCTCTTTTTCTGCTTAATACAGGGGTGACAGTTTAGTGAATGGGCTAAAAAAAATTATTTTGTACCTGATACAGGGGTAACAGTTTAAACTTAAAACTGTTGACTACCTGATTAACCTACTATTTAATGGTCAACACTATTCCATTTATGTTTAAATGAGTTGGTCATAAAAAGTAGTTTAATCCTGTAGCCAGCAGCCAAAAATTGCATTCATGAATATAAGCTTAACCAAATCACACCATATTTGGAGAACTATCAGTCAGTCTTTCCACTTTATTGATTTCAGTACGTAGGTAAAATTAAAAAATGACCAGAACATATACATTTTTATTTCTTTTACTGTACATTGAATAATCCACACTTACTGTCGTCGAAAGGTATGCTTATGACCTTGAGTTGTTTAAGGACATAAAGGTATCTGAGAAAAAATAAGAACAAGCGTGTGTGTCGACACTCAGGACTATGAATAGGCCATAATCACATTATATGATGACTTTATAATTGCCTTGACAACTTGTTTAAAAGTGAAAACTTTTATGAATACAAACATTGTTAATTACTTTGTATCGACATACATGTACTATGGAAAGATAGGATGCAATGACTTTACCTTTCATTGGACATGATTTATGACTCCAAACAGCAAACTAGAGTTGAAAATAGGCAAAGACAAAAAGGATGTCATTACTAAGGATTAAATGTACAAAACATCTCATTGGATTGATTTTTTTAATTTGCCTATTGTTCACTTTTCCAGAAAAATATTCTATTTCAATATTTTAGGAGAAGTAGAGTAAATGATAGTAAACCATCAAGTTGAATATTTTGACTCTGGCTTGCATACTGTATAGTTATATCAAAGGCTTAATTGAAGAATTTTGCATTTTAATTACATTTTTGCATAATTTGATGATGTCATACAATTTTGAGGAGTGTTATGTACCACAAAACTGATGATGATGCTTACCATTATTGTGCAAATTCTATATAAGAAACACTTTCATAAGCCAACACTGTTGTATGTGTTCAGTAACATGTGCTTTTATTTCAGATTTTGATTCCATGAATAAATCTTATCCAGGAATGTTTCAGTAGTAAATGCCTTTATAGTAAAAGTAAATGGGTAGACAAAGAATAAATTTTAAATTCTAAAATTATGTCTGTATAAACTATATTTTATATAATCTAAAAAACATACATTCAAATATATTAGGCACGTCCTTTACTAAGGTTCTCATTTTGTACTGCTGTCTGTTTTAGCTTCAAAGTGTTGGTGCCTGATTTTACAACAATCTTGAGGAAAGGCTTCCAATGGAAAGTGTCTCTACAATTCCATATCTGCTCTCACAATGAAAGTAAGGCAAAATGATGGTTGCTACAGTTTTGAACTCTATTAGATATCTAAAATGACTTGACCATAGCCAGTATACAATCAGTAGATTCCTATGCATCAACGCACACAATTAAAATATTATAGAGTTCAGTAAAAACATAAAGCGAACATATTGAATACAAACAAAAGTAAGCACACTTTAAATATATGTATACATAAACCATTAAAATCTATTTATTACATAAATCACTAT